ACATGGCAATGAGTTCCAGAAGCTAGACCTTGAAAATGTGAATTACTACAAATAACTGTTGGTGGGGGGCATTAGAACAAATTAACTTTCTTGTGTTAAGTGAACATTTCTTACAGGTTTAATGTGAAATTGCAATTTAAACATTAGAGATCATATTAATGGCTAAGGACATTCCACTATATTAAACTTTGTGTATGAATTGTGCAATAAAGTTACTTTGGAAGAAATGTCAGAGTTCTTTTAAGCTTAAGGAATCTCTTGGATTTTCATACAACAGAAGTCTGAAAACTGAGTTTTAATCCAAATACAGTTGCCTTGTACAGGTGGTGTGGTTAAAAGTCTGCCATTGTGAGTCAGAGCTCTCTGAAATTTTGAAGAGTGGTATTAACAAGGTGGCTTAATGAGCTCTGCAATAAAGACTTGCTCTGATTCTTCTTGAGTACACAAATAAATTGGGATATTCTGCAGTGATGGGAAAAATAATTCTTAAAAGGACAATATTGAGGAGCAGGTTTCTTTAGGGAAAGGATTTTTACTTTTATTTTCAGAGAAGTGTGATATACTTTTTCCCTAAGTTATTTCATCATATTTCAGATGGTATTTTAAAGCTTAAGAATGCTAAGGTTTGGAATATTTTCTTCTTTTTAATTTTTCCCTGTTATTTATTTAAATAAGAATTGAATTATGTAATTAATGTAACTGTTTCCTCTGTCTAGTTACTTGGCTTACCTGTTTGGATCTTTTGAAGCCAAATGAGAAATGGGAGAGGAATTCATTAACAGATCAGGAAATTAAAATGGAAAAAGTGACCAGCTGACAGGCACACCGAGAGGTAGGTGTACTTGGGCAATTAGGAAATGTTTCTATTTACCAGCTGTCAGGTTTAGGCACCTTATCAATGTAATGTGCATGTTTCTTTTTTCAGTGGGATATGGTACATTTAACTTCTGTATCTTTCCTTTAAAGAGAATTTTATATATAGTTATAAAAGTTTTCTAATCCCTACTCATTCCAGTACTGGAAACCAGGGCAACCAGTGAGATCTCTGTGCTGTAGGTTTGAACTGAACTGTTAAATTCCACCCCTGTACAACTGTATGTGCCAAATGCATTATTTTTAGAAGGAACATTCAGCTGTGGTTCTTTGTGTCCAGCTGAATCCTGGAAGAGTAGCCTGCTCGGGGAGCCTTAAAGATGTTTGATATAAGTAGGATATGATATGTTAACTTGGCTGCCCTTGATCCTTGACACTGCATATACAGAACTCTTTAATTTTGTATCCACTAACTACTCACACTCTTCAATGGAAGTAATTTCATTGTGACTAATACTACAGTAATTAATTATTTTTTCTGTTGTTAAATCATTCTTGAAGATAACTTATTAAAGGTTTTATCCTCACCCGTTTTAAGTGGGTGAAGGGAATTCTGCTTTCTTAGGAGCATGTCTCAAAAATCAGTAATTTCAAAACTGGATTTTTGTTAACTGTCATTTCTTCACGTTTGGTTCTCAGGCCTAGAATTTACCATATGGCAGTATTCTTTAAAGACTGAACATTCTTTTCCTGTTGTGATGTGTCACTGAAATTATCCTGAATAGGACCCTGTGCTTTTCCAGTAACCACAGCGTGCAATCACCAGATAATGTTTTCCTGGGAACCAGCCCAGTGAGTGTTGTATTTGTGAGGGATGTGACAACACGTTCTGCTTTTGTATCTGAGCTGTTGTGATTAATTATCAGATGTTTGCTTACATATTGCTTACCCCACTAACCTATGAAGATTCAAATATTTAACACTGGGCATGGGGTTTGTAGGTTTAATATTAAAAAAAAACAAATTAGCAGTTTTGGGAACTTGGGTAGAACTTTGCACAGTGTGTGTCTGCTGGAATGAAGAATACAATCCAACAGGTAATTAATGGAGCACTCTGGTTCAAAGTGCTAGTTAAAAATGCAAGGTGCTTTTAGGAAGAAAGCCTAAAGTAGCTGGAAACCTGCCCTTCTGAATTCTGTGGAAGAAGGTAGGGGGTTGATACAACAGTCTGTGCTTCCATGCTGGTGTGGTTCTGACCCACTTAATAGACCTTCAAAAAAAGAGAGTCATGGTGAATGATTAATGGATTAGTGGTGTTGGTGTCTTGTTATAAAGTGTTCTGTGCTGTTTAACACTGGTATTTAGTGCTTTGATAGGTATGGGATTGCACATTCTCCAGTTACAGGAGAACCTGTGCTCTTGTGCTTCACTGGTGCTGCTCATGTACAGAAATAAGGGGCTTGTGTACTGGAAGAGATGACATTTTAATCTTCATCTAAGAATCCTTATAACATTTCTTACTGAAGTAGCTTGTGTTAAACTTTTCCTCAGTAGTCACCCTGACTGCAGCAGGATATCTGTGTTGATACAATCTATTTAAATCTGTCACTTGATGGCTTCTTAGTTGTGTTTTGTCAGATAAAGCTGTTGAGGTACTCACAGAACCACAGCACTGCTGTTTCACTGCTGTGGGTGTCAGCACGGCTTTGCTGCTCCCAAACTCGGTGTTTTGACTCGCAGTTCAGTGCCCAGATGAGGCTGTAGGATCACAAAGACCTGCTCCATGCTCTACCCTGGTGCCCAGTTTGGATGATCAGGGAACTGGGGTGGGCACCAAGAGAGGGGGGACAAAATGCAATTTCACCTTCAGAACTTAATGCCAGGTCTGAACAGCTGGTTTTCATTAATAGCTTTAATTCAGCTAAGCTTTTAGCACCTTTTCTTAAAATATTGCTTGTGATCTTCTTTCTCTCCACTGGGGTGTTTTTCAGTTTTCATGCTGTGGTAGTCCTTTAGTTTGGTTTAGTCTTCTGTACTGCTAACAGTTTAATTGCACAGGTTTTTAGCTCTACTTAAATGTGGAGATTTTGAGGAGCTGGAATTTTTTTGAGAGGTACGCACACAAGAAAATGTAACCATATTCATTGACAATTCATTAGTTTAATGCTTCCACAAGAGGCAAAAGATAAACATCATTTAACCCCGGCACAGAAAGAAGAAGCAGTTTTTACAGACACCTTTTCAGACTTGCATTTTAACTAGGCAAAGAGAACAGAAAGGTTTAGCCACATAAGAACAATGATATGAGAAGATAAGGTGACTATGGGGTGAGAAAAAAATTATTATCCCGTAGCAGAGCAAATGCCTGAAGTTTGCTAAAGTAACAGAATGGAAAAGAATCACTAGAAATCGTTCAGGTAGATAGGCTGTAAACATCAAATAACCATAATTAACCATTTCAGCTGAAGGTATAAAATGCTCTGAGCCAACAGATTTAAGGGAGTCTTGAATAATGTTTGAACCTTACCCCCAGTGCAAATAAGAGAAAACAGGATATTCTTCCAATCTGAAGCCACATTTACCCCATTCCCCACCCACAGTGATGTTCTTTCAGTCCCCTTCAGTGTGAGTCAAACGGGCTGTGTTGTAACCAGGGAGGAGTGAGCCACTGCCCTGTCCTGCTTTTGAGCCAGTGTGGACAGCAGTGACTCACACTGGATCTCCCTTTCATTCCAGCCACAGCTGAGACCACGAGGTTATTGGGAGCAGCCTCCCATTAGCACAGAAGTGCAACTTTTTAAAGAGAAAAGGTGGCAAAGATGAAGAACTGAACTTGGGAATTAATAACTTCTGCCTAATTAAAAGAGGACCAGAAGAGATGCAGTAGTGGAAGCTTGAAAGGATGTTGCTTTGTTTCCCCAAATATAATACTATTAGCCCAGTTTATCCTTAAAAGCAGCACACAAGGAAGCACAGAAAGCAGAACTTGTGGTCGTGACCACTTCTGTGTTATTGTGGTTATTGTCAAAATCCCAGTTTCTGTCCATCAACTGAATATTCAAATCCAGTTTTCCTTTTTTTTATTTTTTTTAATAAGAGCTACAGACCTATTAAAACCTGATGTGTTTGAGGTAAGGAAAGCTGAAAAGGTATTAAACATACACAAATTTGGTATAATAGTAAGAAATGTGCCAACAAAAGCAACACTGACAGTGATCTTCAGGTAAAACAACCCAAGTAAAGCAATGTTAATCAGATGGAAATACTTAAAACTGAAATTCTTCAACCGGTCGTGTTGCTTATTTAGCCTGGATGCAGATGTTTTTCCCAAGTAAATTATGTTATGTTGATAAAAATTTATTAGGAAGTTGTACTGATGAAAACAAGATATCTGCATTTTATGCAGCTAAAATGCTTGAACCATGTTTTCAGACTTCATCCTAAGAACAATTACACTCACCAATCCTGAGATTGCATTATATGAGCTGCTAAAGTTTCTGACAGTGAGGCCAACAGGCACTGCTGACTAAGAACTTTGGACCATTTTATTCTCATACAGTTGAGCTGCATTACATGGTTGCACTTGATTTTTAGGTGTACAAGGAATAGAAAATCTGGCACTAGTTGTACACTGCAGACATCAGGCACTGAAGAGCCTAAGTCAAGTCTCCCACCACCTGTGTGCAGCCCTGTTTTTGGATGAAGAACACGTGCAATCACTGCAGGTCCCTGTGCATGACAGTGGCTGCCTGTGATGGTGGCTGGAGGGCCAGAACTCTGCTCCTGTGTCTCGATCTCCCTCAGAGCAGCCTTATTTCCAGGCTGCTTCCTAACAGTCTTTAGGTTTCTCTCTCTCTTGGGGTTCTTGCAGGGCTGCACAGCCTATAGGAGGTGATAAGGAATTCCTCCTTCCCTTTAGTGCCAGTTCCCTGCAATCACCACTCAGGACAGCAGGTACATTAAAAAAGTGTCCCAAGGTGTCCTACCTTAGGGACTGCAGGCCTTTGAATTGAGCAGTGCAAGGTTGGACTCACAGGACCCACTGCTGCCCCTGGCCTCGAGTCTGTTTTGCTGTGGAACTACGTGCAGCTTCTACAATACACAGATGCCATCATGTTATTACCTTCAATCCTTTCTGAATGAGTAGTACTGTGTCTTAAGGATGATCAAATAGAAACGAGATGAAAAGTGATAAATTTTCCAATAGCTGTATTTTACTAACTGCTCCATCACAAATAAATAGTTTAACATGACATGATTTGAAACGACAGATTTCAAGTGGAATAACTTCTGTATAAATAGACAGCTTGACTTCCCGTTCAGCTCTGATCGACTAAAATACAGACTAAAACAAATGTGTAAAAATATGTCAGAAGTAGGACCAGAACCCAGGTCTGGCGTTTCTACCACTGATTCATAAGAACACTTCCTTTTTTCAAGTAAAAAATTTCCCTTTACACGCAACCAAAATTATCTGCATAAGTAATTTGAACTGGCATATCCACATATTCCCATTACAAAGCAATAAAAAAAGTGTTGTCAACTTTCAAGGCAAAATTTGTCATGATATAATTAGGCTCATTACAGTGTACAATAGTGATTTTGACACCATGTTTTGTACTTGCTAGATTAAAAAGCATTTATCTGTTGTTCTTCACTGACATCCTACATAACAGGAATTAATTAATTAGTCACCGAACAAGATTACCCGATTTTGGTTTTCCTTGTTTTCCAATATAACTGCTGAAACATTAAGTTAAAAACTGTGTCAGAACACCGTCCAGAACGAAAAGGTAGCCTTAAAATTATGCACCCCCATACAAACTGTTAATGAATAAAGGGTTAAACTTAGGAGTGCTAAATGCCATGATTGGCTTGCAGGACAAAGCCAGGTGTGTGTGTACTGTCAGCATCTGTGGCATCCTCAGGTGCATGTCACAGATGCACTATGGATGTTCTCTCTTGTTTCCCAAGCTACAATGCAGGGCACAGTTAAGACAGTATGAAACAAATATTACATGATTCTAAGTTTGCATTTAATATTTACAGCAATTTTAAAAAGCCTAATGTTCCTGGAAATTGAAGTCTTTGCAATGAGAATAATGCAGGAAAAGACGGCAGCAAACGCTGATTACCTTCCACAGATACTCTCTTTTTTCTCTGTACTGCTCAGTTCTGTCCTGGTAGCATCAAAGACAGATGATTTGATGTTAATTAGCATCTTATCCTGCGTAGGGGTGAAATGTTCTGGTTTCTCTGAGTTCATAGCTACTTTGACAGAGTAGAAATCTCTTCTGTTCTCATGGCATCTGACAGGAAACTGAGTTCATTGCACAGTGTCTCGTACCTGAAGGCCATCCGGATCTGTGCAACATTTGTCTTTCGAATGTCGTTTCCCTCAGGCCCTTCTTTACAATAATTCACCCCTAAGAACTTCTGTTTTTCCTGTGAACGGGATTAAATGCGAAAAGGAAGAAGTCAGTTCAACTGCTTTGATTTACTGCAGAAATGAGTGTTTGTTAGTTGAGTGAGTCCAGTACAAGTGAAAAGAGCAGCTTCGACCAGCTGGCCATTGAACTCTACTTCAGAGTCTTAACCAGTTTTGGAGATTTTAAGGCCAAAGTTTATACTTTTAATCACTCAGAAGTGCACTCAGTCTGGCTTGCTAAAACCCTCGGTGCTAGTGTTTGGCCTTCACTGCTACATCTTTCATGTTAGAGGTCAAAAAGAGGCTTAGGTTTCCTTTGTTAGTTAGATGTTGCACAAGAGGAAAATGAGTAGTTGTCACTAAGGGAGTATTGGAAGAAACAACAGAATATACTTCTGAAACCCCTTCACATAACAGCTCCTCGAGAGAAATGTTCAAAAGTGACAGATGAGAGGATGTTCTAAAATAAGTCCTAGAGAAAGCCTTGGCTGTATAGAATTTTAAAGCCAAAAGGGGATTTAATCTAATCTGACTGCCTATCTAAACTGGAATATTTTCTGTAGTTCTCTCTTCTAAGCAAAAATACGTCTTGCTTATGACAGGCAGTTTGTTTTTACTTAATGCAAGATATGATGTATAAAATTACTGGCAATGGGATATCACCCAAATAATTAAAAGTTTGGAACTGGAGACAGAACTGAGTTTAAACAGGCATCTGGTCTCTCTACATGTTTTGGGAATTCCAAAACAAAGCTAAAGGGGAAAAGTAACTAATACTTTACACGTAAGGAAGACTGCATAGCAGATAGTCTGTGAATATTTCTGGAAAAGAGGACAGGGATGTGCATAAATACACCACAGAAGCACCTGCTATTCAGTGTTCAGACTGCTGACTGCTCAGTTCCAACTTGTCCTAACATTCCCAAAAGGGATTTTCGAGCCATAATTACCTTATCTGACAAGCCACTCTGTAGGACGCTGTTTCTGGCTATCTCACACAAGTCACAGGTACTCAGTTTCCACACCTGGGCTGCAATGGCATATTCTTCCATGAGAGCTTCCTGTAGCACCAAAATACATTTAAATTATATGTAAATAAGATATAAATGGGGATATGTACTCATTACTAATTAAGGAATTTATACATGCTCTTTAGACAGCTGTGAAAAATTAGAAGTTTAAAACTTTAAAATCACAATTACTATGAACATAACTGTTTATTTCAAGTTTCCCAAGGACTTCTGTTAAAGAATTAATAGGCACGGGGGATCCAGTTGTCCTAGTCTAAGAAATTACAGCCTGCAGTCCAGATCCTTAGAGGCATTTATTAGGCAATTCCAGAGGAGATCCCAGGGTATATAAACACCTTGGAGGACCTAAATCTTCACTGAATATGCACATGGACAGGTAGCAGGGCAGTGTCTGGCTCTGGCCCTTCCACACCAGGTGTGGCTCTCGGGGGCTGTCCCAGCTGGGGCCCTTCCACACTGGTGTGACTGGGCTGGTGCTGTGGGACATCCACACGGAGTCTTTTCCAGCAGAGACAGGTCCCAGGCCAGGAGCCAGCCCGGGTACAGCACACCAGAGCTCAGCCTGTCCTCGGGACACAGTGGCTGTGGCACAGCACGACTCCAGTCGGTGCCAAGCACAAAACGAGGCCATCAGAACCAGTGACCAGGCACTTCTGTCCTGCCAGGCCACCCAAGGGCAAGAATCTGTTCCAGTTCAGTGAGCAAACAGCTCATATGTCATCTTGAGATTCCACATCATGTTTCTGTAATGTACTTCCCCAGATTTATTAGTAAGGAAACTGGACTTTCCTGGCACTCTAGAGGCTTGTTTATGAAGGCTCAAACCTCCCTTCAGCCTCATCCTTCATTCTATACTTCAACAGCCAACACTGGAGAGGCAAGAGTACAAAAGAAACATAATTAGGAAATCAGACATTTCCCTCTGAAGCCTAACACTGCCTGAAAATGAGGAAGAGGAATGAATGAAGTGACTGAAACCCATGACACTGTATCCTAAGCATAGATACAAAAGAGCTTCCAGGTCATTCCGGACCTGCGTGGTACTGTCCAAATTCAAAGCCAATGCTTTTTTACAACTCTTACCTTTGTGTAATGAAACTGCATCGGATCATCTGTGGAGAGAGAGACATGCAGTCCCTTATGGAGAAATTCCCTTAGTGGATTTTTGGAGTACTCCAGGAATAGGCTGTTGTTACTAAGTGGAGACATGGCAATGGGTATTTGTGCAAGATAATAAAGGTACTGGAGGACAGGACTCTGCAAAATAACACAGTTGGCATTTAATGGTGCTATGGGATAATGAAAAAAAGAAGGATTTCCTTTGGATGAAATGGAAACAGCACTACAGAGGGAGGACTAAGATAAAAAAAGTTGACATTAAACCCTGACTTCTCTAGAAAATACTTAAAAGTCTGAATTTTAAGTGTTACTGATCTTTTTAAAAATAATTTACATTCTTCAATATATGTCACCTTTTTAAAAACAAGGTGATGTAATACTACTGTCGATTAGTAAGTGTATACAACTATTATATTGGCACTGCATTTGATACTAACTGTATGCCTTCCCCCAAAACCTGAAATTCACGCACAACAGATGTACAGGAACTGCTAAGCAATTTGTTATTTTCAAAGCTGCAGTCCAATAGGTCAGTTTTAGGAGCAAAAGAAGTTTTAATTAATTAGAAGGCATGTGTTGCTGTTGTACGTAATATAAATGATCTGTGATTGCCTCATCTTTATTATTATTTTGCCTTAACCAACCTAGGAACCTAAAAAGTGCCTTTATGAGTGTTATTATTTGTAGTATCTGCTGTGCCAGCTTATTGCACCAGGTCAAACAGGAGAGAGTGAAGAGGACAATGCTTTGGTCACACACAGCCTTAGTACTACTTTATTTTAGGAATTACTAGTTGTGAGCATAGTATAGACATAATTTTAGGCCAACTTTTTCTTTGTTCTTGGGTACGTTGAAAAATACGAAGATTTTTCCAGCATTAACCAAAAAAAAAAATACAACTTTTGAGGGAACTCTTTCTAAAAAATTACAGTACATTCAGTGCAAGTCTGCCACCCACTGACCGATTATTTTAATTATGAAACAGTGCCCTGCAGATGAACTGAGTGATGGTTTTTATTAACTACTGTGCCAGGAATTATAACATTTGTTCTGTCATAACAGTCGAGTTCTGTCTAAAATACTGCTGTGTTGTTCAGCTATGTTAAACTTCTTGATCAAAATAATCAAACCCGAATGAACCCTGAAGTACAGAAATGCCAGTCAGGCAATATGACCTTTGTCCCTGTCCAGAAAAAACCAGAGCTTTCCTTAAGCTCTTCTGGGACCTAAACCAGGGAGTAGTAACAAGTCTAAGCAAGTCTTGAATTTTTTCTATGTAATTTTAGCTCTGCTTGGAGTAACCAAAAACAGGTGCTGCCAAGTCTTTGACATATCTGAACAGTTGATCTTCCCTGTAAAGACATAGCTTTAAAATACATGCTCAGGAAAAGCTCTCTTTTTGTAGCTTAAGAAATAGGAAGTTCAGTTGAGCTTATTAATTTCATTGAATCATGAAATAGTTTGGTTTAGAAGGAACCTTAGACATCATTTATTTCCAACACCCCTGCTGTGGGCAGGGACAGCTTTCACTAGACCAGGTTTCTCGAAGCCCCATCCAGTCTGGCCTTGAACACTTTCCGGGGATGGGGCATCCACAGCTTCTCTGGGCAACCTGTTCCAGTGCCTCACCACCTTCACAGTGAGGAATTTCTTCCCAATATCTAATCTAACCCTGCCCTTTATCAATTATTCTTTGTCTATCACTGCCTACCCTTGTGAAAAGCCCCTCTCCAGCTCTCTCAAAGCCCCTTTAGGTACTGGAAGGTGCTACATGGTCTCCACAGAGCCTTCACTTCTGCAAGCTGAACAACCCCAACTCTCTCAGCCTTTCCTCACAGGAGAGATGCTCCAGTCCTCTGAACATCTTCATGGCCTCCTCTGGACTCTCTCCAACAGATCCAATGTGTTCTTGTGTTGGGGTCCCCAGAGCCCCCAGCACTATTGCAGGTGGAGTTTTTGACCAAACTGAAGAGTTACTTGTGCCTTGCTAAGAAAGTTAATTAATGAGGCAGCCCAATAACTAACGTGGGCTGCCCAGATAAAGTCAGTTTGGTGGCTGCTGTTTGAACCAGTGACTGATATCTAAGCACACAGTGATTAGTTTAGGTGAGCAACCAAACAATACCTTCTTCAAGAGCAATCCGTGGGAGATGTTGTCTGCAGTCAGGAAGGCTGACACAAGGTGTGTGATAGACCCAGCTTCTCCACAGTGAGGGCGAAACAGGAAAGTGCACATGCCTCTTTCCCTGAGGAGATTAAAAGCAAGTTCCACTCACAAAAGTGCACTGTTCTTTATCTATTTGGTATATAATTGTCATTAATGTAGTAACTTAAAAGAAGAAAATTAAAAGTTACACATTCTCATAGTTGGACGTGACATCTAATCAGGCCTACCTGTGGGCTGCTGTCTAAATGGGCCCCTTCCACCACCTGACATATTTGTGTCTTCCTCCTTCTTTCCTGCCCCAGTTACACCTCATTTAGCAATTGTCTGGCTACTGGGTGAACAGTTACTGAACAGAATTCAGTTGAGGGAACTGACAGATGGAAAACTAAGTGAAGCCATGCAACTTGTGGCCACAAAATTCCTCATTCAAAATGAGGGAAGAAGTGAAAGCACATTGCCAAGAGTTACCTAACACTACCTAGTGTGAAGAGAACCTGCCATCTAACCAGGTTAAGTGTAGCATAAAACCACACCCTGAGAAGCAGAGATGACCCTGGAGTGTTAGGTATTACACTAGACTGTAATTTCTAGAATTATGTTATCATCTATACTAAAAGCAATGTTGGGGTTTAGGTTTTAATGGACCCTGTTATTCAGTGTAGACAAATGTCCCATAAGTATTTGGAGATGTTCAAAACAAAGAATTTCAACAAGGAGTGCTAGAGTATAAGTACAGATGTTTAGTAACGTTTCTCCTGAAAATAGATGTGAGGATGTAATTAATCCATCCTCACTAATACCACCAAAAGTATACAACAGTCTTGTCGTGGACTGGCTGTCTGGACTCAAATACTCAGTATGTTTAACAGGGTGAACAGTTTTACTGACTCATTGATTAATTGTGTCATTACCTCACCTAGTAAAGAATATTTAATGATTATCTGGGGGGATTTTAAAACAGTAGTTGAAATGACCTTGAGGTAAAAAAGAAATGTGTAAGTTCTGACAGAAACTGTCTTTGGAATAGAAAAAGCATGTAGACTACAGAGAATGTAAAAGAAGAGAAAGGGATGACTTAGTTATCTAAGTCACATCTTAGTGTGTCCTTTCCATTACAGAATTAAAACTAACAACCAGGCCTGTTTGTTGCACATACAAGGTAATTTAAGGTGGGCGTTCTTATTGTGAGTTTGGATCAAATAGGACGATAGAGAAAGAAATGCTTCAAGTAGCAGTGGGAGAGAAAAACTAACATTTTGAATGTTAACTTGGATGAAATGGTAAAATGACAAATCTATGCACCTTTTGTGAGAAAATCCCCAAACGTTTTACAAATAATAATGAAGCAAATCCTTGCAAGGTAAGTGATGGCACCATCATATCAATGGACAACCTCACTGAGCCTCAGCTGGAGTCAGTTGTGCAGATCACTCAGTGAGGCAGCTGCAAATTTAGCAACATAACCTCATGCTGAATTTCAGGCTTTACTGAGCCTGATGCCAAAACCTGCTTTGACAGTCTGACCTCACAGTCCTGCATTACTCCCTGCATTACTTGCCCAGACACTGGGCTCAGAGGTAGTAAAACTGAGTGACTCAACAAGCATGCTAAAATAAGTTAGCTAGAGGTGCAGTTTATAATTGTGTCCTACTTTGTCTGATAGCAGCAGCCCTTAAACCAGTATTTTACAACAGAACTTAAATTACTCTTAAATGACCAGGAAGCTACCAAGAGGCAGGTACATTATATTTGGAAATCCACTGTGAAACCAAGCAAAGATCAGTAAGTCAGCTTTGTGGGGTTTCTTCTTTTGTTTTGCTTGATATATTCAGCTTTAAGGAATTAAAAAAACCCACAAAAATACACACAAATATCAAACCAAGATATTAATCTGATGACTTTACAATTTCTGAGTATTTCATTTGAATTAATTTTGTAGTTAGTATTTTCAAAATAACTCACGTACTCCTCTTGGACTCTCTAAAATAATTCAAAATAACTCTTGCTTCAGAAGATATGTAATCTAGACATGTAGTTAGAGACCAAGATACTGATTTTCTGGAAGCTTGCAAAAGAGAAAAGTGACTACTTACCTCCTAAGGTTGTTTAGCAACATGATGTTCACATACATATAATACAAATAATAGCTATATGGGGGATTCTTCTCACTGGTCCAGAGGTCAGGGTTAAGGCTCTTGTCAGAGAACATATGGCCACTGTGTTTGGATTCATCATCAACACTGTCAAAGCCAGTCACCTGGTGGGAGGAGAGAGTCACAGAAATCAGAGTTTTCAAGAAGCAAATTTGAAATGTCACTCTTGTTTCAGGACTTGCTTGAACAAAGCCTCCACTCCCTCTTCCTTCGTCTCCCTCCTGTGCCAGCAGTCCTGCTGCCCTGCCCTCCTACCATGCCATGCAGACAGCAGGAATAACATGTTTTCTTGAAAGAAGTTTCACCATTTTTTAGTTCTGAGACAAACAGGAAGCCCAGGTGCACAAAAGCCTTCAGGCTCCTGTGGGGGCTTACAGGGCTGTAGGACTCCCTCAGATCCAGACTGTAATCCTTTGAACTCATCTGCTTTGTTATTTGATAAGCAGCTGAAGGCCAGAGGCTCCCAGGAAACCTCAGAGTTCCGATTTGGGGCACACTCAGACATGTCTCTCTTAACCTTGTCCCAGCAGCGACATCCCCACCTCCCTCCTGAGTTCCACCAGGATCTACACAATGCCTCCTTTCAGCTGCCTCCCTTTTGGAGGCCAGTCCCAGAGGAAAGCTCCAAGTACACATCCTGGACTGAGATGCAGGAGAGCATGCAAACATTTTTGGTCATGGCTGAAAGAATAAATAAATAGCTGTTGAGCTGTTTCAGAGGAAACAAACAGCAACTATTTCACAACAGGACCTCACTCAGACTTCTATTAAATTACAAGCAATACAGTAATCTAATAATACAAGCAATCCATGCAGAAGGAAACGTTTTTAGTGTTTGGGAACAGCTGTGGATGAAAAAAGAATTATGAGTAGAAGAGGATCCATTTCATATAAGACAGGAAACCCAAACATACTTACATATTTAAGGAATAGGTGCAATTCTTTGTGGTCTTTGGGATTGATTGTTGCTTCAAACAAAGGTAAAAAGATGTTCTCCAACATCTTCCCAAAACTAGGCAGAATATTTTTAGACCTAAATATGTCACTGAAGGGGAAAAAATAGACATATTTTTTAATTAGCTTGCATTTTCCTCCACTTTCATATTTTCTGTTATTTGTGTATATTCTACAGCTTCAGTTCCACCAGGACTGAGAAACTCAAAGTTTATGTCAGGGCAGGGATCGTCTTTGTGCTCTTTTTCCTGCACTGCCTGGCACTCTGCTTCATCCAGGCTCTGCTGAAGCTCTCGAGTGCTCCAAAAATAGAGGCAGTATGCAGGGGTAGATGGGGTCTAACAACAACCTGCTGCCTCGGTGGCCCTTTCCCTTACAGCAACCCAAATACTAATGGGAGATAAGGAATTACCTCCCGTGAAAGCTGCTGTTTTCTGGGGCTGTAACTACTCCAAATGAAAGCAGAATGTTCTGCTGTAGTGAGCCCCTCAGAAAAGAGGGACAGTAGTTCTGTGAGCCCTTAAGGGCATGACTTACTCCAAGTGCCGACTGCACTGTGTATGCAAGGAATTGCTACGTAAGAAATTAAAGGAGAGAAACCTTCTCCCCAGCGAGAAACACACTCTGGGGGATATATGTGACTGTGACAGCTCTGTCTCCACTCATATTCCAACTGTGCCATTTCCAAACATGAAGCTCAGCTATTAAGGCTGACGAGATTATCAGGGGAGACTGTATTACAATACACAGTATTGGAAACAATGAAATCCCAAAGGATGCTTAAAAACTAAGAAAAACTGATACTGATTTTAGCTTGTAAATCATCAGTCTGGGTTGTGTTTCCAAGTTCGCTGTTATTTAGTCACTGATCTTGACAGTAACAATTTTACAGAGCATTTTCTACTCCTTCATGGAATTCAAGAGTTGATTTATCTCATTAGTAAATTATATCTTAACTTGCCTTTGAATGCAGCTTGATTTCACCCAGTTGTAAGTTTTGGTTTCAGTGTCTTCAGACTTACAAATAATTCACAGTAGTTTCGAGTAGCAGCTTCATAAAGAGTAGATTCAAACCCCATCTCCTCTATTCCACCCCCAGACTGTCAGGAAAACTGCACCAACGGCCAAAAATAAATTCCCCAAGCTACTGCTTACAAATAGAACTACAGGACAGCTAATGAGCCATCTAAATATTATCAGAAATAAAGTCATTGGTATGATTTCAAACTATGAAAATTACCAAGAGCTCCTGATTACTTACTAGATTCTGGGAACCTGAATTATCCAGCGCATATTAGGGGAATAAACTTTATGCTTAATGAACCATTTTGCCAAGTTCAGCCATTCATCTGGAGACCGTCCATAAATGGATAAGCGGGGTTCTGTATACTGGTACTTACTTTCTTCTAGTTCACGGGCTACTTCCTAGTAAGTAATAAATATATTTGCTTTAATATGGATACTGAAGATCATTTACAGCTAGTAATAGACTTATCACTGTATTTTCCTCAGACCAGACATAACTGTATTGACACCCTTTAAAAATAAAGGGAATCTCATGTCTACTAAGCTACTATTTTATTTTAGGCATCTTAATAATCTACCATCAAGCTATCTCATGTCATTTGAGTATAACCGTATATATAACTGAGTATAACTAACATCTAGATTTAGAGGACAATATTCTTGTGCAGTTATTACTAACACTCTTGTCAAGCCCATGTTTAAAGTTGGTAAATCAGAGTTACACTATTTAAACTGCAGTAAATGTCTACATAAAATATGCAGACCAATTGAGAATCTGACCCAGAATCCATGGTAGTAAGCAATTTTAAGGAAATTTATTTTAGACAAGTACTTCTATGCATTTAAGAAGAGGTGACACTACATCACAAAACCTACTGATTTTCTTGTTCTGAGAAATTAATTTGAAGCCTGTTGCAGGCGTGTGCAGACAGAGATTTCTGCAGAGGCACTTCCCTAGCTCCTCCTTCCCCAGCAGATACCACTAACCAACTACATCCTAACAAAATATTAAGCCAGTGATTTGACCCTCGGCCACTCTCCATTAGTTTGAAACTGCCCACAGCTCTGCTTTGAGCTCATACACAGCTTATGTGCATGTTCTAACTCATCAAATTATTCAGAAAGCAGCAGGGGCTGACTTAGCAGAGGTCTTTCTCTGAGGAATTGCTGGAGCGAGACCAGTACTTGGAATCACTTAACCACAGTGTTACCTCTAGACACAAATGTCATCACAAATCTATTCCAAACCTTCATTTCTCTACAGCTGGAAAAGCTTGAAACTTATTTACCTTGACCATACGAGCAAAATATTCACCACCAATATAGTTCTCAGTTTTCAAATACAAGTCCCTCAGCTCACTGGCACCAACTGGATTGTACTTGGAATTGAATTTGTCAAATCGATGAAATGTTTGACGACCCTGGAGGAGGAAAAAACCCAAGTAACCATGGTTTTAAGAACACACAATAGTTTATAAATTAAATTGCCTAGCAATAAAAGGCACAAAAAGAAAAAGCCTGTGCAAACTTCCTTCAGACATGCAATGTAGTCAAATTCTGATTTAATAAGTTATCACGCAAAAACTGTAGAAACTAGAGTTTCACACTTGGAAAACGTCTCTTTTTCTCATTTATTTTGTCATTTTACGAGACTTACTGCATGGACATCTAAAGAGTCCACAGTGAGGTCATAGGGGTCCATGTGAAGGCTTTCAAAGACTTGCTTTAAAGTCATCTTCCTGCCTTTTTTCTCTGCAACAATCCTGTCAGGCTCCGTTTGATAGGTGTGCTTAATAAACCTCAGTAAGTGCTTCTGGTTCATGCAAGCAGCAGCGTGGATATGAGTATCAACCTGAAATCAAAAGGTTATTCATGCTTATCATCCACAAACTTCAGTTAGCAAAGTATCCATGTCAGTGACAACAGCGACTAAAGCCTTCTAAAATATTCCTTAAGTAATAAATGGATTCTTGCCTAAGCAAATCAAAATGTTTCAGAACCCTGAGATTTTGATTTGGGGGGAATTATTCAATAAGCAGAACTATAAGTAAAGTAGCCCTAAGAAAATTTCAATGAGATACATTCTAAGACCCTGGGTTCAGATTAAATTGGATACTTCCTTAAAGGACACCCTGATCCTTTAGTATCCCTTTTTTCCATTCATGAATCAACAAAGTCTTTCTAGTTATAGACTGCAATTATAACTATCTTTTCTGACTGAAAGGACCTGGAGTTCTCGGCCATTTCCAAAAGCACAGTTCATTTTTGTATTTCAACCATATGAAGTACCTTAGGTCACCAGAACCAAAGAATATATGCGTGAGAGATTTTGGTCACTATTTTTTCCAAGTTTAATTATAATACAGCAACTCATAATGCTGATTTATTTTTCAGATCTCTTTTCTTAGATCTCCTCACACACTAAAGGAAGTGCATATTCTAACTAAAGACCAGAATGTAAACTTAATCCTAATCACTTAATTGTTTATCACTGCCTAATTCAAATATACCAGACACATTAAAGCTAAATGAACAAGCAAGAAACATTTTGCTATCTCAAAGTACAGAACATAAAAGTACATTACTAATGCACAATAAATAATACTGTGTCTAAAACAGTAAAAAAAAAAAAAGCTATGCTTAACATATCACACTCCTCAGAGTACTTGTATAGATATTTGAGCCCAAGTGCATTTTATACATGTGTTAATTCAGGTTAATAAACATTTTCTGGTTTAGCTTTTTGTTTACTATAAACTATTCCTGGATCAGTGAAATACTATTAGACTTGGTCAGCTTGTATGGGAGAGTGAAATAACAGTTAAGAGATGCCCCACAAGCTCTAAACATTCAGGAAAAGCAAGTCACAAGCACAGAATACAGGTGTAAGGAACCTGAGTAAGTGTAGTTTATTTAATTTCAGAATGCCCTGGCCTCAGCAGTGGCTCAGCTACTGGAATTAATGAGTCTTGAAAAAAAGCCAGAACAAAACACAACACAACACTTCCTCTTTATTTAAATCCACATGAATTCGCTGCTGTCAGGAGAGGAAGGAGGGAAAGCAAGGACGGGTTTTGTTTCTTTTGTTTGCCTGTATGCAAGGATCACATGACACGGTAGTAGCTGCACTGCTTTTAAAATCCTGCTTCCCCTTGAGAAATCATTCTCTGTGCCTCTGCCAGTCAGTGAGCTCCTGTGACACCTTCTCCACTCACCACAAACACATCACATGCAGCCCTCCAGCTCAGCTAACCAGGTTTATTCTGAGAACCGAGATCTTCTTTGTTGTTTTTTTAACTCCTCCTTCTCCCTAAACATGTATATATCCCAAAAGTTAAGAGACCTTTCTGAATCTCCTTCATGCTTTTTTTCCAGAGAATATGCAGTACTTTAGCTACCTTTTTTTATTACCCAGTATATTCTGACCTTTAAGTAAGCAGCAACTTCAGTAACAAAGAGTCGTAAGACTCAAGTCAAAAGTCATAAAAGTATCACAAAGCTTTTTGACTTCATTGTTTTTTAGGAGCAATGCAACTTTTTGGAAAGTTTCAATGACTTAAGCTTTGAGCTACCCAAGGACATAGGAAGTTACTGTTAATGCTCTTGTGTATTTTCACCATTCAGGGTGCAATCCTAGCTAAATGAAGTATCTGAACACAGAATCCTCAGACATAGCATAGATGGGCTGATTTGGTGAGGGATATTGTCATTATTGTTGTTATTTGAAATGTTACCATGCTAAAGGACTGTTACTAATTTCATTGTTATTTATTTTGAAAGGCTTCTACTAAAAGAATTTGAACGCACTGAGTTCCTATAAGGGTGACAAATGCCCCCTTTGCCTCCTCCCTGTCCCCAGAAAAGACAAAATCAGTTCCATTTTAAGCTGTTACTATTTCATTCTTCATACACTACATGAAGTAAGCTGAAGCTTTTCTGGGCCATGAGTAACAAGCCCCTGCCACAAGGCCTACTTGCTTCTATTTGCAAACATTCTGCTTGCATTTTCAAATTAGCTACAGTGCCACTCCAGCCCAGTTTCTCCTTAGTGGAAAAAAACAGGGCTGCATGCCCTTAGCCAGATTTCCTATTGCATTTCTTATTCTCCCATCCCCCCAGGACAAAACCTTTCACTCAAGGTCACATTAATCTTCAATGAAAGGAAAAACAGAATGACCAACAGAAGCCTGTCTTGGAATACAACATTGTATCTTCAGTGAACTCATTGGTTTAAAAAATGAAAACCACTGTTAACATAAAGGTTTAATTCTTTTAATTCCATCAGCTTTCTTGCAATTAAAGGATGGTAGAATTCCCTTCACTCAGCAGTTCTCCATGTAATGAAGACAACCTTTCTTCTTCTGCGCCTTTCAGTTCAGACTGAGAAGGGGCCACCTTCCTTTCCTTATTGACCTGCCCACCCCTGCACTTCTGCCTGCAGGCTTTGGGCTCAAATGCACACACTTCTCAGTCAAGGTGGCTACATCTGTGTACGACTTACAGCTTGAAAGAGTTCCCATTGCCCTCCAAATCATGTCTCACCAGCACCAACTTCCATAAACCACTCTGCCTCCTCCCTTATCTTCCCACATTCCTTCCACTGTCTCTCAGATCTCCACAAAACATCCATCTCATATCTATTTGTGGATGCTTATCTGTGCATATCAGACACAGTGTTGCACTGAATTAGGCACATGAGAAGTGGTAAGTACAGCAAAAAGAAATGCCGAGGCTGCCCCAGTGTAATGCCACTGAACTTTCCCAGTGTGTAGGTCAGTTGTACCCAACAGCTGCACGCTACTGTGTTTGCTAAACACATAGACTTGAATTTGGAAATACTTCCAGCCCAGGAGCTCTGGGCTGCATGGACTTGGCACTGAATCCTCTGCAGGCTTTACTTCAGTGCTGGATTGAAAGGAAATCATTCCACATCCCACTGCTAGATTCCCTGCTCACCAATACATCCATACTGCCTTAGCTCTTCAGGGAAGATGGCAACAGCTTTATACAACACACTCCATTCTCTCCTTGCAGTTCTGTAACAGGCATGACAGAAGCACAAAATACTCTGCCCTAGGGTAGAGCAGGGATGCTCCTGGCAGCAGAAATAGTCCCTAGAGCTCATGAGCTTGCCTAATTCATAATTATGGCATCCAGAGCAACCCAGAAACCAGAAGAGACGAGAATCCCTGTGCCTCCAGCTTCTTGTTTGGCTGTGCTTGCAAAACATGGAATCAACCCCCAGAGTGTTTGTAATTCACATAAGTACAAAAATACACTGCTGTGAAGAGAAACAAATCTCTTTTTCTGTTACTTTGATTACTAAAAGAAGGGATAGAGGAAAAGCTTTCTTGATGGTCTCTACAGAAATTCTGCATTATAACAATTGATGCCTTTACACCTGATCATAGTTTGTGCTCACTTGCAAGACTGAGGGTGGACACAGGGATTTATCTCAGCATCTATTCAAGACAGGAGGGCAGAAGTAGCACTCCCAGTGCTTTGAAAGCACAACATACAGCTCTGCTGCCAGTTAGCAGTGGCAAGGCACCACCACATGTCATGCTAACCAAGGTGCACAGGGGCATTCCCTTTGGATCTCATGCTAACCCATAAGTCTTCCCATTCACTGTCACTTTGGTTGATATGATGAAACTGAATTTCAGCACCCAAGTCAGTAAGTAGGTACTGAGGAAAAAAGAAAAATTAAAAAAAAAGAAAAAGAAAAAAAAAGCTAACTGAATGAATCAAAGTTCAGGGAAGTTAAGGTATAGATTCAGTGTTCATTCATGAGGCTTGTAATCATATATTTAAAAAGCAGACATCTGTTAATTTAATTCAGTATTTAGTGAGATCTATAGAATTTAGTATTATATAAACCACTTGAACTTCCTTTCTTACAAGTAACAAGTGGTATTTCAACTCTGTGGTCGTAAAAACCAGCTAGAATTTACTTCCTTCTTGTCTAACCAATAGTTACTTAAAAAAATCAGTTGCAAGAGCCTAAATGCAAACAGTGAGTCACAGCAGCAGCCGGCTATTGCAATACAGCCTTCAGCAGGGCTGGGTGAGACACTCCAGCAGCTGCCTTCTTCCACACCCAGTTCCCCAGCCCCAGCCAAAGCTCTGCTGCCACACAAGGCTGGGCACCTGAGGGAGCCTACGGGCAGGAGAATGTGACATGCAAGGGTCACTGCTAGGACATATCCCCTCAGGTCTGGTTTGCTGACACACTGAAATAATGGCTACACAGAGAAAGAACATCGGAAGAGGCTTAGGCTGTAATTGTTTCATCTTTAGAAAATTATATCGAAGCTATTTGCAGTGAAGGAAACCTCCTGCAATTAGCAATATTTTAATAAAACTAAAATAATACTCATGTGTAGGTCCTTTATTTGAAGGTATAGTTCAGCTAAAAAAATTAACTGTCTGCTCTGAATTATCTGAGGCTGTTGGGCACTGAGGTGTTTTGGAAGCCCTGCTCAAAGAAAAACCCTCACCTACTTGCTTTGGAGAGCAAGACACTCTGATACCTAAAGGTTAAAACCCAGTTCTGAGTTTGTCTGCCATAGACCTAAACTCTTATTCCTTAATTTCTTCCCTAGTACAGGAGTTATGTGGAGAATGTGTGTTGACTGCACTTTGCTGTGCATCAGCTGGAGGACATGGGAGAGCCCTGCTGATGGCACACCCAAGGGTCTTCTCTAGAGTCAGCACTGTCCTATATAGACACTTGTCCACCTCCTGTGGGGAGCCAAGTGGAGCCAGCCACACTGCCTTACCACCTGTGGATTCTTGCCTGTCTAGAGAAATATGTGCATCTCTATTAAAGCGCAATTTTCCAGGTCCATCTTGATCAAAACATATCTTTGGTTGCACTCTGGTTAAGTTCAATACAGAAGATATACACATACACAGGATTTATGAAATAGGTCAATTCACTGGAGGAAAACTCCTATTAAATCAGGAAAAAAAAAAGGAGGGGGAGTGGGCAGGGGAAAAAACCCAGTAACCTTTGGTTGTCATGCCAGCAATTAATCCTGGCAAGCTTTCTACTGTACCTTCCTAAATGCAGTAATACATGTTCATTGACTGACCTTGCCACTGCATTCACAACTGTTCTAATTTTGACATTTTCCACCAGTTACTTTGGCTCTTTTATACAAGCAGACAAGTTTTACCAGGATCTCCACACTAGTGTCTGAGGGGTGTGATAGACAACTTCACCAACCCTTTTGGAAGGTGAAGCTTGTTTCTTGCTTTCCTCGTGAGCAGTATGCACTGTCTAGGATTGACTAACAGAGAGACAACTTGAAAACATAGGCCAAGAAGTGTTGCTTTCAAAAGTTTCACTACTGATACTGTTATTAGGGAGGAACCACTTCAGGGAAGTTACGGTTTCAAACATTACTTGGGTTAGCAAGAGATACGGAAAAAAGATTATTTAGGGGCTTACAGGAACTCTGTCTTTCCTGAGTGCTTCAGAAAAATACTACTTGTAACCTTGCTTCATAAAAATACTTTGAGTAAGATTAACTCTGTGCAGCAAGAATTTTTAAAGCAGTAACTGGCAGTAGAAATGATCTCTGGCAGAGGACAGCAAGCTTGTTCCTGCTCTCTTGAATGTGGGTGTTGCCAGAGGGGAAGCAATGCACATTTTGTGCTTTTGAACAGCATGAATCCATTTGTAGATGGACTTATTTAACAGTATATAATTAAAAAATAATTAAGATACGCCCAGAGACATTGGACAATTGCTTTTAAATCAAAAGCTGAACTTAGCAAGTACAATATTGTTAATTACAACTTCTCAGCAATCAAATTGATTGTGGGAGTTACCCGACCCACACCTCTGTCCTCTGTGTGTGTCAGTCACCATGTGTTTTATTATTAAAGTCCCTGTCAGCTAGTGAAGTGTTTTATCTGAATGTGGCACAAGGAAGTATCTTGTCCAGGGTTATGTCAATTTAGGAGCTGAGTCTCTGCCACTTGAGCCCTGCTTGAGTGAATTAGCTGACAGATCCTCCCATCCCTACACTTAACAGATGGAAGTGTGCAATGCATTAGAATCTACCTGACAGCTCATCTGCTTCTACCCTTGTGATGGCCACTGGAACAGCCACCAGGCACTTTTGTTTAGCAGATTTTGTCTTTGACAGTTTGTTATCACAACAGTAACAAGCATTCAGTAGGCAGCAAGCACACCGAACACTACAGGGAAAAGCCAAGAGGACCTTTCCACGTACTAGCACTAACCAAAACCTAACGAGAAGGATTAGTAAACCCTGAAGCTACAAAATAAGGATTGCCATTTCCACTTGCATATAGAAACAATGCAAAATGGACCTGAAGTGGTTAAAAACACCAGCAACAATTACTGCTTTGTGAAGAAATCTCACCTATCAAACCGAAGCATTATCGCTTCAGTAACTTCCTCTTCACTTCAGGAGAGGGAAGCAAAGGAAGCAGCCTAACACTGTTGCTTCCACGCTTTGAAGAGAACACAGTTCCCATGGGTGTGAATATGACAGGAAATTAAATCAGCTCCTTGATTCCCTACCTGTCTCCTAATTACATCCCAGTGCATCTCAGAGGCAGCCAAGACTATGACTCAAATAACAATCTTTTTACTTAATATTTCACAGACTTTCTGTACCAGATACTGGTGGCAGCATGAACCCTCAGTTCAGTTTCTGTGGGAGGCCTTTTGACATGTATTTAAATATCTATTTTCAATATGAAGTGCAATAATTACCTAAAATCTATACAGCTGTTCCTACTACAGTCTGGTAGGATTTACCTACATGAAAGCAGAAAAATGCACTTGACTGTCTTTAAGTGAGTTCATTAAAATTAATTAAACCTCCACGTGGATATTTTTATACATAATCCAAGTGAGCTTCATTTGATTAACTCTGTTTCACTGCTTTAAAGCAATCTACATACAATTAAGCCCCTTTGATTCTGAATAAGTAAACAAATTAGTTTAGCATAATCCATTTAACCCATTTACATTCAAGTTAATTTTCCTGGAGTGTTCCCATGTAGAAAAATGTTAATATTCTTAAAATAACTTAATTCTATTGAGTGGTATGCACACACCACTTCATGCATATCATCTACACCTCCCATAAGAAAGGCAAAATTGCTGCAACTCCTACTAAAAACAATGTCATGCCTTTAATCCTTTTCACACTTACCTTTCTCACGTTATAAAAGTCTCGATGGGGATTACTCTTTAGTTCTTTAAATTCTGACATTTCATTTAACATCTCATGTAAACTAAATTTAGACTCTAAAAAGTTAAGCCTCCGGTGACAATATGTTTTTCTGCAAAAGAAAACACAAAAATTAGCTGTGACTTAAAACTACTTGTATTTTAAGTCGAGAAAGAACACTGAAGTTTTTGCAGTAAAATCCTCACAATTTATTTGCTTTTTCAATTGAATATGAGAAGTCAAGACAAGATGCGATATACTTTCATTTTTTTATGCCTTAAGAACACATATATTGTGTGGAAATACCTTTTTTTCCCCACAATAATTTCTTGTGCCCTTTTTAGAAAATCATGCTGTTTTGTTCCTGCTTGCCTACTCAGAGCTCTGCCTTCACTTTCATCTTCTGTCATGTTTCTCATTCTATTTTTAACCAATGACACGGTTTTTCTCTTCACCATCTGTCAATTCATATTGACTCCACAATATTTTGGTAGCACTATTAATGTAATAGCCTTCTTTTTCCTGCTTTATTGTTGGCAGTCTCTCCTCAATGGGACACAAATCCCATTATGGTTTTGAAAGTCCGATTCAAGCATGGTCTCACTTTATCCCACACTGATCAAGCCCTGTTTGCCCACTGCAGGAAATCTTTGTTGGGTTATATTATTATCCAAGAGACCAGAAGCCTGAGGAGTAGGGGTGAGATTTCATCAATTTACCAGCAGCAAAGATTAAAGAACAGTGGTTCTTGATCTCCAAGCGGCCCCATGTGTGATGGGCATAACTGAGGAGAGCACTTGCTGCAAACAGGGAAACAATACCATAAGAAGAGCTTATGAAACAGGATTACTGGAAAGACCTTTTTCTTTTGGTTTCTGCATATTTATCAGAGAGTGGGAATCAGCCTGCAAAAGCTTACTGTGAAGAAGTGAAAGGACCAGATGATGGCTCCTACATTGCCAAAGGTGCTGAGTATTCTAACTTGTCCTACCAAGGCCCTTCTTACTTATGGCTTCCTGTTAAGACTGTTAACAGTTAACTTAAACCTTAGAAGACAAAAAGAAGGGTCTTCAGCACGACTTTTGTTTTGAGTTTTTCCTCCTTGTCCTTTTATTGTCTCATTATCTGTCCCCTGGAATATAACGCACTGGAACTGGAAATGCATTTATCCATTGCATACTGTATCCAAAGCCTACTCAAGCTAGCACAGAGTTGGAGCAGGAGTGCTGATAATGCTGGCAGAAGCACAGGGTTTTGCTCTTGAAAAAGGGCCTAGGGAATGGGACAGGTCTGTTTAGCCCACATGCTCTGCCACTATCAAAGCACAAGGCAGACAGACGGACACAGGTGTCAGACACAGACTCGAGGGGGAAAGAATGCATCAGGTGTGACCAACTGTTCACATTGGCAGTGGTGATCTCTTCAAGGCAGAAGGACTCGGAATGCAGTGCTGGCAGAGAGGGCAAACAGCTCAGAACCATCTGGGTTCCTGATTAGTTCCACCCTAAAATGGATTCTTTTCCTTTCCCAGTGCTGAGGCCATGCTGTTTCCAAGCCCCAGCTGGGAAGTAAGCTTAAAAACTGGATGCACATGCTTTTATTATGCACTGGGCAAGGACACTGCTTTGTCATGAGTGTGTCTGTAGTGACTGTACTAGACTAGTATATTTCCAAGAGACTTTTTTAGAGACTTCCCAGGAATTTGATGGTTCTGGGATATTTCAGGACCTATTTTGATTGTGCAGGCACGAGGCAGTTTCGCAGCATATAAGCAGTTATTTCACATGTGAAGAAATTGGAAGTTTCAGTTCCCATGCTTCAAGAAATTTGGGTCAGATTTGACTTGAATGCAAACATTTGACCTATTTCTTGCTGTTAACTGCTTCTTGTTTTGCCATGGTTGATGCAAAGACACCAAAGAAATTAAATATAGCCATATGTGGCATCGTATTTCCTCCTTTTAAGTTCTTCCACAATGCATTAATGCTCAAGAAAGGCAAAACAAAACATTACTGAGTATGTTGAGGACTTAAGTATCCCAAAAGAGAGAAGTACTAAACTAAAGGTAACCAGCAGCCTGAAAGGCAGAGAATAACAAAAGAGAAACATACGTTGGACCATCTGCAATCAGAGCAAGAACGTGGCTCAAGTCAAGGGTGTAGGTCTCCAGGTCGGGATACGGCAAACTCCGAGGCTCATTGAGTTCCATCATTTCCTTGTTATCATAAACAAAGGGAATGCCACCTTTCAGCTTGATAACATAATCCAAGTTGTCTGGAGCATCATCAAGATTGTAAGGATCTTCATTTTCTTCTGGGGGTGAATGGAAATCTGAAAATAAATTTACATTACATTTAGAAGAAATAACCTACATAAAAGGCAAAACAATTACAAAAAGAACTTTCTGCTTCTATAATGCTTCATTTCCAGCAGATCTTCATACTTTCATTAAAATCACATTTTCAGTTACTATAAAAGATCTGCTGTTACAACACAGCTTGATTCTGACAGGCTTGAACGGCAGTCCCTTTCTAAATTAAGTGCCTATCTTAATTCAAATGTCATATGTTATAAGAGTTCTCTTCTGAACCAATGTATACACAGATTTAGTGCTATTCTTTAGAACGTACGATGGAACGATTTTCAAGAAGTGTTTAAACTAGGATGGTTGAAAAGTACGGTTGAGATTTTCGAACAATAAAATAGTTGTTGACTTCATACCCACCTTCATTATTTGCTTTTCAGCTTCTGACTCACTGCAGCAATTCTGGAAGTTTGTATTTAACCACACAGTAATGCAGGTGTTCTCACAGTGAGAACAGCAGTCAGGAAAGAATAAGCTGTGCCTTACTGCTTCACCTCTGCCCTCTCAACTGCCCTCACCACTTCCTCTTGACCATCAGTGAATGTGCCTCACTCATGGCTGAGAACGAAATAACTGGAACACTGGGGACTTCTCCCTCTCATCAAAGCAGTGGCCGGTTGGCAGGTTTTGGAGGGGCCTGTTTAATCAGTTGGTTCTGTTGTGTTTTGATTGGAGTTTTTCGGTTTGTGGGAGTTGGTTTGTGTTTGATTGTGTGGTGTTTTGGGTGGGTTGTTTTTTTTTTGGTTGGTTGGTTGGCTGGGTTCTTTTTGTGATGACGATCTTGTTTGAGGTTTTTTTAATAAAACCTTTTTTTTTTTCAGTTGCTTTTGAATAGAAGCAAGAAGCATAGAAGCCAAAGACAGTACAACACAACTCTAGTTTTTCCCTTGACCAGAATCAGAAAGTGCCAGAAGCATGGTTGGGATTTGTTCAGCACAGTTTTGTAATGCCTTTACAAAATGACGATTTTCTTTTCCTAAGAATCAAGTAAACACACATACTTCTGTCTAGGAGATTCAGCTCATGTGAACTCAAACATTATCGCTCATGTTCGTGAACATACATTGCTTCTTTTACAATATCTTACTAATGCAACTAGCACAAAATAGGCTTCTTGACTACATTTATGTCAACTGAACTACGTTCTTGCTCAGTCTTATCAGTTTTACCTGCTCAGTTAAGCCAAGACAGACAAGTAATTAACCAGTCCTTTTATTGACCCAGAGCACCTGAACGTATGTTATAAACTGATGCCACTCTTATCTCTGATATTCGTAACTATCTAGCTCAAACTTGTGCTAATTAAGATACTGTGTAATGAGACTGGTGTTGTACATTTGAAACCATAACTGTAAAAAAGTTATAACGTAATAATAGCCTGGAAATATCTCCCTGGCAGCTGTTCCAAAATATTTCTGTCGTGAATATTCAGTATACTGTCCTCTTTACACTCTTACTGGATAAAAACCACTTGAAAACACATTCATTCCCCCTCTTTCAACCACTGAGCCAGAAGGTAATTGATTCAAAATGTCACTTTGTGGCTGAGAATAAATTGCCAGCAATATGGACACATCTGCAGTGGCACATCTGTACAGACCAAAGGTGGCTCCTCACAGGCTAATCCAAAACCGAGCAGCACAAACAGCTGAACGCACAAGCAAAGCTTTCACGACACAACCCACCTAAGTGACAAATATAGTTTGTGACATACAGTGGGGGAATATGTTCAACCTAATAAGCCTTGTTGAGAAATCAGAGTTTATTTATCCAGGCAGAATGCCCAACAAATATGACTACACAGCTTCCAGCCTTGACCTGGCAACTGTACCCTGCCTGTGAAATTCCTGAGTCAGGGCTTGCTAACTGGCATGTCTGTATCATGCTTCCATTTACGATGTAGATAAGCTCATCATCCCTTTTATGCTTTAGTTCTGTGTGCCAAGATGAGGAGGAATGACTTTTCCCTTTAAACCATATCCATGTAGCTTTTTCCTGGGGGAACACAAGTGTACTACTTAACATCCCATTTGCTGCGAGAAGAAAATAATCAATGAGAGTCTAGAATGGGTTTTTAAGTTTTGACAGCTTCAAAGTTTCAGATTAGACCCAGGATTTATAACTCAAATCTGTCAGTGATTCTCCACTCACTAACAGAACAAATTACAGAGGCAAAGACACTCCAAAGAGATCACCACAAAAATCCAACTTCCCTTTTACTACAGCAGTGCACGGGTTTAATTCTGTATTTTAAAATAATTTTGAAATTTTTAGAATATAATTCCCTGTTTTAAAAAGGACATTGACCTGGACACACTTCATCTTCAACCTTCCATTTTTCATCCCTCATGCTGCACAGGTACTGAGAGGTTGTCCTCGGGAAGCGATGGTAGGCAAGGCGGGAATACTTTTCTCGAATGAGAAGAGCTTTCACCAGGCTCTTGGCAGCTTGTTCATAGTCATCAACTGTCACCTGAAAGGAAAACCCGGATAAATACTGACAAAAATAAAACAGCCCTGTTAGCAACAAACCAAATCCACGCCAGTGACAAGGAGACTGAATTCCCAGAAGTATTAGTGTATGACCATAAGGATCTTGCCCCAGGTGTCAGGAAGCCAGTGATAGAAGCAGAACCTAAATACCATAGGCAAAACAACACACATGATTTTTTTCTTCCTACCATACATTACCCATTTGTTGAGTATCTGATTATGTTTTTACCCAATATATTACTATAAAGAGTATAAAACAACCTGACCTTGACTTTAACTGTTTTACAAATCACTGCATCCACAAAGCAATTTAGAGTTTGTTGCAGAAAACCATCATATATTGGCATTTTACACTTCATATACATATATGGGATTTTCTTTTCCCCCTCTAGATATAGAAGGGGGAAAACCAATGGTTTCTTACCCCTGCACAGTAGTCCCCACTAATTGAAACTCTCTGGAATTCTGGTACATCATATGGCACTTGGACTGGCACAAAAGCACTTGGAAGAACTGGTGTTGCTGGAGACAGGACAGGATTGGCCGGTGGTGCTTTCCATTCCTGAGATGGAATTTGTAATGACAAAGACTGGGATCGAATCATCTTGAAACTTTTCTTCCTAGGGATTCACGGTATAAGACATAAAATAAGCCATGGTATAAAACACTAAATACACTGGAAAACTGACCACATCAAAGAAGTCACTCCCTAGGAAATTTTACAAATTAAATTTCTCATACCGCAGAAAAAATGTCGGTCACAAAGTATTTGTGCTTTTAGCTTTTTCCTATTGACATTTCCCACGATATACAGTACACACAATTGCACTTACCCTCCACGTGAATCCAATATGCCATAATTTATTTACAACCACCCTAAGATGCTCTAAGGTTTTTGTTTCACTTCTTACAAATTCAGTTTCAGCAAGTCACTGTACAGAAGGAAAACGTGATCACTGTGCTCACTTCAGTAAGAGTCAATTCTTAGAGACTGGCAGCATCAGAATTTGTGAAGTATGAGACAGAAACAAGTGAATGTTACCTATGGTAAATCTCTTAAGTTATCATGCTTCTACACACTCTTCTCATTCTTCCCAAAACAGCAAGACTTAAATCTCATCTAGCTGTCAGACAAGACTATGCATCAAAATGTCACATATAGTCATTCAGTTAAGAATGACTTGTAAGTAAAACAAGGAGCACCTAGTTATTCCTTAGGCAGTGTTTGATGAGATTGGAGCAAAAGGCTGATGTTGTTTATCAGAGTGATAACATAGTATGGCTTTCATATGTGAGTCTTTTCCTCCCCTCAGGAGGAACTCCCATGAATTTAAAAACGTTGCCCTTTCTCAGCAAAACTGTGATAGATGTGCACCTCAGATAAACCAGCTGAAAAAAGAATGCTGTGGTTTTTTCAGTGAAGTAATTGTAATGCCTGAAGTGGAGTTTTGAAATATCTCTGAAGATTTAATTCATTTTCCTTACTCGGTTTAAATGTATTTAAATGTATTTTAAATACTCATATAATAAATAAACATAGTAGAAAATAGTCCCTAATTTTATAAATTAGATACTAAAACCTTAAAATGCTAGTAAGAACCACTAACAAAGAAAAAGGAACACAGAAATAGTCCATAGTTTTATAAATTAGATACTAAAACCTTAAAATATCAGTAAGAAGCACTAACAGAGAAAAAGGAACACTGGCATACTCTCTGAAAGTTGCATATTACTTCTTAAGAATAAGAACATGCAGTGCTGGTACAATTAACATCCTATAACCAAATTCCATGTTCTTCAGTACTTGTAGCCCTCTTGATATTAGTATGAAATTCTTGGTATCATTGATCAAATGCAGCTGAAAACAACACAAGTTGTACTGGTGTCACTGTCCTCTAGTATGCATCAGTCCTGCAGGACAGGGATGAATACTTGTTCTGTTCCCACATGTAAACAATATATATATAATATCCTGATTCCCACAGCTAAACTTGTACAAAACTTCAGTTTGTTTGAGAGAACATATTTCCACGAGATAATTCCCCAAATTAAAGTAAAACTTATTGGTTCAGGAGGAAAGATATACCAAACATTTGCTTGAATGAAAACATCTGCTTTTCCCTTCTGTGCCTGTTTATGTCTATGAACATGCCAACTGGGAAACCCACTTGCACAATTCAAAAACCAGAAGTCTCAGCCTGTATCATCAGTGAGTCATACCTTAATTTAACTAAATTGACTCTTCTCCCTTCTGTTCCAGAAATATGATTCCCAGTGTTGCCCAACTGACTGCGTGCAGCTAACCAGGTACATGTGTTTAATATCACTTTCAAAGGCTTTCTTGTTTGCCTGCTTTTTGAAGAGTCTGTACACATCCACCCCATTTGGTGTCAGGCTGCTGCTGGGCTCACGTGGCTCCAGGAACAGCCCAGCAGTCCTCTGAAGGGAAGACATGGGAACAACCTGACATCAGGGGAAGGCTGCCTCTCTCACAGAAGAAAAATCATAAACCAAAGCAAGTTTGGCTTCATTAGAGTCCTGGATAAACCAGAGGTAGAATGCAATTTATTTTGTTTTAATGTGCACTTTTATGGCTGGCAGTGGTTAGATTTTCTCTCTGTGAGTAAAGGAAACCTACGAATAACCTCATTATGCCAATACCACTTTGCACCTTCTCCCTTGATCTTAAATGTAATGTCTCGGCTTTCATCTATTTTTACAGAGACAAAAAGAAATATCATGCCACTGTCATTTTCTGTGTGTTAAAATTTTCCATTTCTCTTAATGAAACTAGAATAAGGTGAGGGGAGTGTTTCTTTTACTGACTCTTCTTACATTAAAGAGTCTTAGGGTTGTGTTCATTTCTACCCAGCTGTGCTGTTTGGTAAACTTGCATGAGCAATATCTGCTATTGCTGGAAACACAGCTGAGAGAAGCTCACCAGTCCAAGCTCCCTAGGGCCCAGCCCCACACCTTCTCCCTGGGACAGAGGAACATCACACAGCTGCCCTAGGTACCTGCTGTTCACCTGTCTCCTCAAGTAATAAGAGGCAGAATGTTATTTCCCAGGTATTTCAATATTAACTCAACCTTATTTAAAAAGTTATTTTCCACTAAGAAAGCAACTACTGAACAAACCTCTTAGCTGTTTCCAGGGACTGCTGTTCTGCCAGTTCCTTCTGCAGTTCCCTTTCCTTGGCCTCCTTCTGCCCAATAGGGCAGTCCTCAGGCACAGTGAAGAGTGACAGTGCATCTTTGCTGTCTTCTTCCCGCAGAACTTTAGCAAAGACCTTCTCTGCCAGAAGTCGCACGTGCTCGTCAACCTCCGAGATGTTCAGCTTTGGAAACTGTCGGGGCATCTCGGCTGGGAAGGGAGATAGGTGACAAAGTTATATAGCTACAGGAATGCAGATATGAGGGAGACTGGGCTTTTTTTCAGAGCTTAGGGCGAAAGCAGAACAAAGGAGAATGCATAATTTAAACTAGTATGAAGTACGCAAGAACCACGGATATCCACTCCACTTTTGGAGCCATGCTAGTTTTCACGCCAGGAACTCCTCAGTATGTCCACAAAAATTCCTAAGAAACGTATGTAGAGCTGTGCCAATAGATTCCACTTACTTGCACAATCAGACAGGCTATTATCTGTGATATAGTGCACACTCAGCTGTATGTACTTGCACTGAACGTGGAAATCGCATTCACTCAGTTGCCTGACTTCTTCCTTGCTCAGCAACTTCAAACCAACAGGCAAGTTAGAAAAGAAGGCTGCACATTTCTACCAAACCCCCTCCCTTCCACAAATCAGTAAGTCACAGAGCTGCTGTGAAGTAAAACAGTTGCAGAACAGGAGCAAATATGCTGTAGTTAACTCCGTGACTTTTTTCCGTTCGTTTTTAGCAGTTCATATCTTGCTTTTGAATGCATGTGGGAAGCAGATAGGATATGGACTTTCATTTCTGCTTGGCATTTAAATATTATTTTTCAAAAAGAAAACGTTTTATACTTTAAATTTTTAAATAGCCTTTCATCACAAAACACTTCCATTTTTTTCCAACATCACTACTAAAACACCATCTTTAGAGTTTCTTCTGTAGTTTCCTGGCTTTATTTTTATTCTGTTTTCATACAACGAAGAAGGTGAATTTTAACATAACTTGTAGGATTCCACAGGGAAAAAATACAGTGCTGGTAAGCTACTGACCAGCATTATTTATTACGTACTGTAATGCTTTCTGAGTGCCTTCAGTATGATGGAGTTTGTAACAAATAAGATTAAATTCTTATTACATAAGTTAAAAATAGCAACAAACATGTCACAACAAATGGATCCAAGCACTGCCAGAATGTGAAGTCTGGGTCCAAAACTGGAATTTCAGAATCCTTTTTGGTTACAAAAAGGGAAACATATTCAGTAAGACAGTATTCATTAAGTAACGACATATGCTGGAAGTCAGCACAGAGCGTGGCAGTTTTTTATCACTCCAGGCACAACTTATCAGGGCCCCCATTACAATTTTTCTGTAGGCATGCTGCAGGTTTCACATGCTGACATGTGATCCTTTCGATACATGAGCCCCTTTTCAGCCTAAAAGACTCTAATTAATGTTTACTTGTTTTCACAGTTGTTTTCAGAGCAGTGTTGCTGTTATTCTAAAAGCCAGTATAGTATAAAAAAATTGGTAAAACTTATATTGGACCATAACGTGGCAATTTAGTGATCACTTACATTACTTGTCATTCTTATTTTGTGAGAACCAATTCACAGCCCAGTGGAAAAGCATGGTGGGTGTTAAAAGAACTGTGGATCTGACTTTGGGCCAGTTTTCTGCCTGCAGAGTACTTGTTTTTTAATCAGTATCAAGTCCTCATAAAATCCAGTATAACTACAGAAGAAATTTAAAAATGCATTCATGTTTAGCTGAATGATGACAATGCACTACAATGCCTCAGAAGCATCCAAACTTAGATTCACTTTCTCTATTTCAGCCCCCAATGAAGTCATAGCAGTCTTTCCACTGACCCCAGTGAACACGGCTGTCAGCAACAGTACCTGCCTCACATGCTGCTGCCAGCAGGAAGGGCCTTTGGGGACACTTCAGCCGGGCAAAAACTGTCTTTGTGGCTACTGAACTACGGTAAGAGTTCTAGCAATGCTAGTTCAAAGTGAAATAATAATGTTTCTGCTGCTGCTAAATCAGCAATTTAAATATTTTCGGTACTAGCAGGAAAAAAAAAAAATCAATGGGCTGTATGTTTATCATTGGCTGAACATTTTTCTAGTCTAAAGGAACTTTTTCCTAGAGCATTGTGATCAGAACCAGAAAAGCAGTAGGAAACATACTGCATGAGAAATGATACTGTATTTTAAATCCTTACAATAAGGCAGTGAGAAGGCAGAAAGTATAGACATAAGTACAAACCTCTACTGATCAAAGTTTTTTTTTCTTACTCCATTCTCCACTCAAGCACAACAGAAAAAGGCATAAAACAGTTTGAAAGGCAGGTTCAGCCACATCACTGATAGGTCATGTCACTGAAATGAGTCTAATAAACCTAAAATAGTCATAAGGCACTTTGTGCAATACTCGTGCAAGCTGTGCCATCCCGAACTGGAAAAGGGATGAAGCCCTTGTATCCAAGTATCCTTCTATAGAAGTGCTGTCCTTTGCCCAAGGTGAACGACAACTACACATCTTAATGGGATGGGGAAGGGTAGGAATGCCCTCCAGTAAATGCTCTTTTGCTAAATATCTCGGTCTCACAGAAAAGCTGCTTTGGGTGCTCTTTAGCTCTGCACCTTTGCGGAAGAAGAGAAACCTATTTCCCCTGAAGCAAGCCGCATTAAAAAAAAAAAAAAAAAAAAAAAAAAAAAAAAAGCGATGGAATGATTACTTAAAAAGCAATTATCGAGCAGGAATTTAATGGGCTTGCACACATAAGGAGCACACGCCGCGAAAGCCGCCGCCGCCCCCGGTCCCCCGCGGGCAGCGCCGGGCGCCGCATCCCCGGGCAGGTGGGGCCGGGCCCGCGGGCGCCGCCGCCGCAGGAGCCCCGCGCGGGTCCGTCCCCGCCGGGGCGGCGGCCACCAAGGTCACCATCACCGCCCCCGCCCCGGGCAGCCCGGCGGGCACTTACCGAGCGGCCCGGGCAGAGCCATGCCGGGGCCGCGCCGGGCCCCGCACCGGGGCTCCCGCCGCCCGGAGAGACGCCGCCGGAGGAGAGGGAGGAGCCGCTCCCGCCAGATGCCGCCGCTCCCGCTGCCGCATCCACCCGCCGGCCGCCCCGGTACCGCAGTGCCGCGCCGGCCCTGCCCCGGCCCTTTATGGCCCCGGGCGGAGGGGCCCCCTCGCCGCCGCTGCCTCCGCCGCAGGTGGGGCGGGCAGGGGTGCAGCCCCCGCCGGGCGAGGCTCCGGCCCCAGGGCCGCCCCCCGCGCCCTGCCCGCGGCCCCGGGGGGGCTGCGCTGCCCGGCCCGGCCCCGCCCCGGTACGGGGGGCGAGCGGCGGGCGGGGCGCCCCGTCCCTACCTCGGTGCGGGGTCTCCGGGAGGACGCGGCGCTTCGGGCTCCGGTTGCACCTGTGGCGGGGCAGGGACGGCGCCTCCCCCGCGGGGCCGCGGCCTCGGCGGGAGCCGGAGGAGCGGAGGGAAGTCTGCTTGTTCCCTTCCCCGGCCCCTTCCCCTTCGGCGGCTTCGAGGCAGAAGTGGCTCTGTCACATGTCCCCCGGCCGGCGCGGCGGGGAAGGAGGGCGGGAGGGGAAGGAGGGACGGAGGGAGGGAGCTGCCGCCCGGCCCACCTCAGCCCGCCCGGGCTCGCCTCAGCGGTGCCGCCTTCCCGGGCGCCTCTTTCAAAACTCCTCAAAAGGCGCTTTAATGCAGAAAAACTTTGGTTCGAGAGCAGAACATCGCGAGGCTGGTGCGGAGGTGACAGCCGAGGGGTGTGCTGGCCATGTGTCCCCACAAGAAGTGTTCTCAGCGGTGTCCGCCCCTCAGCGGAGCAACGCGGTTGAGGCGCTCGTCTATATTTAAAAAATAAGAAAAAAACCCGCCAAACCCCGAAAAACTTAGTGGGTAAATAGCCCAAGGCAAATAACTGAAGCTCAAAACAAGCGTGACTCAGCAGGTATGAGGATATTAATATGTGAAATATTTTGACCTTATTTTGAGAGGTTCTGGGCCCCAAAGCTGAAAACTTTAGGCACATGTTTGATAAGTTTTGGTTACAATACTTGGAGTCCAGTCTGAAAACATTTAGGTATAAAAGTATCTTTATGATGCAGGGAGGCACTGGGAATGAAGTGAGTGAAGAACAAGATACTTTCTGTAAAAAGACAATCAGAGTAAAGGTAGATCTCCCAAAACGTGAGGGATCAGGTAGTTCTGCGTCCCCCCAGCTTGGTAAGCATAGAAATGCTCCATTCATAAACCTCAGGGGATTTTGGCTTCAGAAACTCCTTTACTTCACACAGCTAGTGAAAACGCGGAAATGAAAAGAAAGGAGGTGACCATACCAAGTCTGAGTTGCAAAGAAGACCGGATATTTTGACTCTTTACACTGATATCAGCACAATCACCATCATATGCTCGTAAAAAAGGCTAAGGATTATGGCCCCAGCTGTTGTATGAGACGTGCACCAATCCAAAGCATTCAAAAATGAGTCAGCCATAATAATAATAAAAATTTTTAGAACAGCGTTAATGCTACAAAAATAGGCATTGTTTCTTAGCTTGAGAAAAAAGACTTATGCTGCGTGTACGTGTTTCTCCCACAGTCACTCTGAATGGCTTCATCAGCTGCTGCCGGCTACACCCAGACGAGCCAAACACCACCCGGAAAACTGCATTCTGGAAGTGTCTGTGTGTGACTCACGGCTGCCCTGCCCACTTGATATGTGAGTAAAGAACACCTGTTGCTGCTGCCCATTCAGTGCACCCCTTGATTGCTGAGCTGTTAGTGCTGCATCCTCTCTCCCAAGCGCCTGCCTGAACTTGCCCAAACTTGCCTGCTGTCGTTTGCCTGGCAGTCTGGGCTCCTTGCTGTCCCTCTAATCGTAACTGTGCCCTGCCTGCTGGACTCGGGTATCCCACGGCTTCTCTTCTCAGCTTGACAAATGGGGCTTGCCTCCACGCTTGATCTAATCTGCCTTCTGTGGGATGCAAGAGCCTGGAATAGTTCCCTCTTGTGCTGACTTCTGCCAACCGCAGTGAAAAAAATAACGGTCTCGGAGATAACTGTGTTTCTGCAGTTTTCTTTCATGAAAAGGGACAGCTCCGTATTCCCCTAGTGAAGAAAACCTTGCAGTGTGAGTTCACATATTACAGAAGCCAGAGAATTAACACGGAAATGAGACCTTAGAAATGCCTTAATAAAAAGAAAAAACAAACACTTCTATGGGCACTGAAGTGCAAATCCGTAAAGATATAGGACACTTTTTCTAGGTAACCACGAGTATTTAAACGAACTTTCCTTTTGTAAGAAGTTGGAAACTCTTAAAGGCAAACTGAGATCATAACTTAGTAAATGCATCTGTAGTAATTGAAGCATTCAAAAGATACTATTGCAAAATTTGTAATAAGAGCAGGATGGATTGTAAGAATAGGCTAATGGTAATAAATTAACGAGAAAATACTTCAAGTCCTCCCACATTTTGCAGCAGCAATTACTATGACCAGTAATTTTACAAGCTGTGTTCAAAACATACATTTGACTGGTGGGTCCAGTTTCCTGTCCCATCTCTGCTCTCATAACGAACAATTCACATGTATCTTTGGGGAATGGAAGTAACATTAAGCTGACAGCAATGAAATAGCATATTTTCAACACAGATGTTGTTGTACTCTTCCATTGGCACCTGCAAACCATAAAGCATTAAACTTTGCATCCAGACTTAGAACACCTCATGGTTACAGTCAACACCTTGTTAAACATGTGCCCTCTGCCCCATGAAGGAGTCTTTCTGCCAGTCCAGTTTGTGGGTAGGCTATACTTTTATACAACATACTGAAAGTAGTGCAAGTGTCTCCATAATTATTTCAAACGTTGTGATTCCCATTGCAAAATGTCAGTACTTTCTGAAGCCATCTGGGTGTTAGTTCTCCTCTTTTGTGTAACAAGCACTACTTCTCTCAGGTAAACTTTGCTATACAAGAAAAAAGTTATCCACTTCCTTTTACCACAAAGTTACAGCTGATCACATTTATTTATATGATTTTTTTTTTTAAAGTCTGTATTTCTCTTGTGTCTTCAGCTTGTTTTAAGCCTTATTTAGAGCTTACTCTTGTGGTGACAGTATGATTGTTCCAGCACACATGGTATTGGACTGCTCTTTTGCAGTCAGTCTATTTTAACAAAAGGAAATGCAATAAAAGTTTTAAATTCCAGCATTTACTGAGGAATGCAATAAAATAACAAAAAAGCCCTAAACATACATTATTACATTATTAACAATTATTTTTAGAAACAGACAAATCTTGTCTGGGAGATGATTAAAGCTGGAATGAATACTCATCCAAAATGGTCTCTCATTTTCACTTGAGATTGTTTCAGCTGTAATAACATACTGCTTTCATTTGAATGGTGCCTTAAAAGCTAATGGAATTTGAATTCATTTTGTAAATAGTTTCACATAACTGACTGTGATATTGATAACAACAAAACAACTAATGGATCAAATGAAATATTTCAATCTATAACGTAGCCATTAGTGGCACCCAAGCCATATTGGACCTGGTACTTGCTTTTCTGATCTTCAATCAGTTCAGTTAATGATATGCTTGGAGCACATGCATTTACTTATTGAAGACTTACTGATATTCCAACAGCAAAAAACCCCATGGTTAAATGAAGTTATCTCCAAAAGCCAGAGGGGAGGTTTGTGCCAAACGTGAAATGTAGATGAATGGCATTATCAAATACTCTCCACTATAAAGGAAGAATCATTCAACTTCTTAAATGAAATAATATAGAAAATTGTAATCGTTCAAAAAGAGAGAAAATTGCTCCACTCAGTTATTGAAATGATACAAAGCAAATCATATATGTTCTTTTTACAAAGCCAAAAAATCAGAAAGCATCATCTTTCTTATCCACTGCTTTTCATAAAGCTTGCAGAAATTATTTGGGCATATGAGTATTCAGTGCTGTAATTGAATTAGAGCAGTTAAGAGCACTTGATACAGATGTTTGGGTCTTTCTCAGTATTGAGTTAAAGAGGAATTTGAAAATCCAGAAGCTTGGTTCCTACTCTAAATATAAGCAGCAAATTTTCTGTGTTTTGGGGATTGCCCAAGGCCATTCCAGAAGGTATGTGAGAGCAGAACAAGGAGGAGAAACCTTGATTAGGCCAGTTTTTTCACAAACTCCATCTGGCATAGTGGTTGTGTTCAGAATACAACCATACAAGGTACAGCTACGCTTACAGAAAGTGCAAAATGTTTTTAAAATCACTTGCACTGACATTAGGACTGAGAGTAGGTTTGGAATCCAGTTTCTTGGGCTTTTTAAGTCAAGTGACATTCTCCCTTCTGAAAGGATACCTGTGAGTATAATTGTCCTGTAGTATGTTATTATGAAATAAAATACATATAGTATGCAAATATAAGTCTGTTTAAACCAGAAATAGAAGTGGGAACCATAGACATTGTAAAAGGATGTGACCGTTCAGCCACTGCTTTAAAGCTAAAGTGGGAAAGTTTCTGTACAGTCCGAATAATAGGACTCTGAAACAACATAACAGAAGTTTTCCATGGGTTTATAAATGGAATATACTGTAATACTTTGCTGCACAAGAAGGCTTTACAAGCAAGATGGGACATTTTGGTGTGTTTGGAATTGTAAGCTGCCCTTTGGATATTTGGAAAGCTTTCTTTCCAGCCACTTGGCAAATTCTTTGCTGGCATCAACTACCTTACCTTGTCACAACATATAAAACACTGATTTAAAACCAGCTTGCCTGAAACCTACTTAGCTTGGACTTTGCAAGTAGTTCCCCTTGATGGAAGACTGCCTTGCTCTGACTTTATACATAATTTATCTGAAATTCTGGAACTGTTCAAAGAAGGAGAGATCTGACTGCATTAGCCAAACCTGTATGTGTAGCTGAATGACCTTAAATCTGATTCATAAAACAGAGAATTTTTGGAAAGTTACATTTCACCCCAGTTATGTGCAACGCAGTAGAAATAGTTTTTAACCACCCCTCTGGTGTATAATGCTGTTTTACTCAGCTTTGTTTTAAGAGGAATTTTGTTTGCTCGGAATGCACATAAAATAAAATATTCAGCAAGCAACGGTCTAATAAATTAGACACTGCCAGGGCATGATAAATAATGAAACAGTGTAATTACAGCTCACAGAGGGGAACCCTTTGGTCTATTTTGGAAATCCCTAAAATAAAGAATATTCTGAATTAGGTCATTTCTGCAAAAGTCGGTACTGGAATCTAACCCGTATGTTTAGAATCGGTTTTACATATTATGTTTGCAGTGGAAACGCAAATAGTTCCATTAAGTGCTACTCATTTCTGCATTTGTATTACTTTTAGATGGCCACTGAATTTTTTTGTGATAATTTGTGCTAAGGGTTTGCATCTGGGTTCTTTGGCCCTCCTGTTGTAAGCTTCCTTCCCAAACAACAGGTATCTGTGTGGTGCAGATGGAGCACATAACTGCCCAGAAACCGGGAAATGCGAGATATGGTTTAGATGTGACTTTACACAAAGGTCACGTATCCTTAAATGAACTCTGGGCTACATGTTGAACTGCAGTCTTCCCTGTCCCCACTGTATCCCCCCTCTTCTCTCTGTTTTACAAGTATATTTTCCAAGTCTCTCCTTTCACAAGAGCAAGTGAAACTCTGCAGCCTCCAACCCAGGAGTTCATTTGTACGTAGGGATTCCTGCTGACCACTTACAGCCCAAATAAACCTTCTCTGTGTTGCCTGTGTAGCACTAAGCAGGCAGAGTTGGCAAGAAACCCAACACAAAATTTTTGTATTCTCATGTAAGAACCTAGACTTTCACCTGGGAGTGGGAATTGCTTTATTATTTTATCCAGTCTGTCTGTGTAAAAAACAGTCTGACTGAGTAGCCAGGCCTGTGCTTATATTTATGTTTTCACGGTGGTCAGGCACTGGAATAGGTTGCCCAGGGCGGTGGTGGAGTCACCGCCCCTGGAGATGTTCAGGAGGTGTCTGGATCCAGTTCTGGGCAATGTGGTTTAGTGGTGTAGGGCTCATACTGGCGGTGTTGGGCTGATGGTGGGACTGATCTCAGAAGTCTCTTCCAACCTTGATGATTCTACGGTTCTGTGATTTTAGATGCGAAATGACTTACAAAGCCCCTGTCCTCTTTCCATAAAGCCCGTCTAAGCTGTCAGCCGTGGCGATCCGCAGCCTGTGACACTTCCCATCTTTCTTGTTCCCTAGCCCGTGGGCAGAGCGCGGCACGGTTTGTTCCTGGGGGCGGTTCTCCGGGAGGGCCTCTCTGGGATGCTCCGTGCGCTCCGCTCCGCTCCCGCGGGGGCCGCTCGGCGCCCTCCCCGCGGCCGGGGCCGGGGTTATGTAAAGAGCCGCGTTACGCAAGGAATGCAGATTTACCTTACGTAACAGCCCGTGCCTGCCGGAGCCTCCTCTGTGCGTGCCACCAGCGCCCAGACATTAGAGGGAAAAGCGGTGTCGGCGCTGTCAGAGATCGCTCCGTCCGGCTCCGGAGTGACCTGTTTGCTGCTGTGGCTCTTTTCGCTGGGGCGGTTTCCTCTAACTCCCGCCTTTTCCTTAGCCTTGGGGGACATTCCCTTCGGTGAAAACAAACAGCGCACATACCTGAGTCGTATTGGTGCCCTTCTCTGGGGATCTAAGGAAGACTTTACTGGTTTATAGTTATTGCACGGAGTGAAGTTAATCCGGTGTGGACAAAGGGAAATTGCAAAGTCCTGGGCATCTCGAGCACTATGTTTCAGCTGCTGCCACAGTCAGAGGACCTGATTCCAATGCCTGTGTCCAAAGGAAGATTTCCAAGTCACTTAAGTGTCTTCAGGGCTAGAAAAAAGACCCCTATAGTTCAGAACTCTGTCTCTAGGAGATATTCGGAGAGATTCCGGAGGTGGGGGCCTGTTGCTGTTTGTTTGCCCTCTTGTGTGCAGGCAGAGCATCCTCGAGTGCTGAACACTTGGGATACTTTCATGGGGTAGTAGGTACTGTCAAGACTTCTGTGCTCGATGCCTCACTCAGTTCCCTCTGTACTAATTTTTGATCTTGCAACTTTGCACATCTTTCCTTCCTGATTTAGTGACTGATAAGTTAGGGTAGGTGTGTGCTTTGTTTGGGGTGTTTGGGTTGGTTGGGTTTATGTGGTTTGGGTTTGGGGGTTTCCCTTTCCTTTTTTCTCCATGGAAAGGCCCTGAATTCCTTAGGCACCTTGAAGGATTGGTGTACAGGAGTGCTCAGCTCAGGGCTTTGCTCTGGTTCTCTTCTTGGACATTTTTGACCACACACCTTCATACCCCTTCCCTTTTTCACTTGTTGCTAATGCCCAACCTACCCCATCAGGAAAACCCTGGATGAACAGAAACAACAGTCAATAGACGGTGTCAAAGACAGAGCAACCCTTTTCCTGTTGTGCCTCACCTGTATTGCTTTATAATCTTTACGAGCTGGAGCTGGAATCTGGACTGTCCTGATTGTTATCAGTCAGTGAATGTCTTCCAAAAATGAGCCCAGTTCCGTTTTCAACTCTGTGTGTTTTGGTGTCCCAACCATCCTATGCTGGTGAGCTCCTTCTCCAGCTTCCCTGAGCGCTGTGAGTGGGGGGGTGGACGTGAGCCAGCCGTGACCCAACAGTTGTGTGACCAGACACAGCACAGCTCTTGGAGCTTTTTGCTTTTGCTGGTTAAGAACAGCCCCAACCTGGACTAATCTCTTGGAGACTCAGGTAGCCAAAAGAGACTGGAGTAGGTGAAAGCAAATATGAAATGAAAGGTGACCTGCTGGGTTAGTCAGCTGTTTGAGTGGCTTATTCCTGTTGTCTCCTGTACAATCCAGTGGGATAAGCAGAGAGTAGGGAAACAGCCAGTCTGCTCAGATCCAGACAGAAGTGGGAGAAAAAAAGAGCTTTTAAACTGAGTGCCTGCCTTCCCTGTTATTGAGTTTCTGAGTTTCAATGAACTTTTTGTTTCCAAAACAGGAATATCAAAGGAGTCCAGAACCACCTGAATTTCAACAAGGGGAAGTGCTGGATGGGGAAACCCTGGATGTACAGCCAGCCTGGGGAATGAGAGGCTGGAGAGCAGTGCTGCAGAAAGGGACCTGGGGGTCCTGGTCAATGGTAAGTTGAAGGTGAGACAGCAGTGCCCTGACAGCCAGGAGGGCCAACCCTGTCCTGGGGGAATCAGGCAAAGCATCACCTGGGGTCACCAGGGATCACCTGGGGTCATCCAGCAGTCAGCCAGGAGTCATTTGGGGTCATCTTGGAGTCATGCACAGGTCACCTAGGGTCATCCAGGAGTCACCTGGCATCATCCAAGAGTCATTTGGGGACACATGAGGTCATCCAGGAGTCATTTGGGGTCATCTAGGGGTCCCCTGGGGTCATTAAGGTCTCATTTGGAGTCATCCAGGAGTCACTTGGGGTCATATTAGGTCATTCAGGGGTCACCTGAGGTCATCCAGGAGTCACCTGAGGTCATCCAGGAGTCATCCGGGAGTCACCTGGGATCGTCCAGGAGTCACTTGAGGTCACGAGATCATCCAGGGGTCATCTGGGAGTCATCCAGGAGTCATTTGGGGTCACCTGAGGTCATCCAGGGGTCACCTGAGGTCATCCAGGAGTCATTTGGGATCACCTGAGGTCATCTAGGGTTCACCTGGGAGTCATCCAGGGGTCACCTGCAGTCACTTGGGGTCATTCACAGGGTCACCTGAGGTCATCCAGGAGTCATTTGGGGTCACATTAGGTCATCTAGGGAGTCATTCAGGAGTCATTTGGGGTCACCTGGGGTCATCCACGGGTCACTTGGAGTCACCTTAGGTCATCCAGGGGTCACCTGGGGTCATCCAGGAGTCATTTGAGATCACCTGAGATCATCCGGGGTCACCTGGAAGTCATTCAGGAGTCATTTGGGGTCATCTGGAGTCACTCGGGGTCACCTGAGGTAATCCAGGGGTAACCTTAGGTCATCCAGGAGTCACTTGGGGTCACCTGAGGTCATCCAGGGGTCACCTGGGGTCATCTTTGGTCACCCAGGTGAGTTTGAGGGTGTCTCTGGTGAGGTGGGTGTAACTTTTGTGGGGGTTTGAAGAAGGTGGGTGGGATTTAGGGGGGGAGGGGCTTCTTGGCTGTCCCGTGTGTGAGTGGGCGTGGCCTGTGAGCTCCTCCAGGTGAGAGGGTGTGGCCTTTGGACCAATCCAGGTGGATCTCAGGGGGTCTCAGGTGAGGGGATTGTCCCGCTCTGCTCTGCACTGGGGTGGCCGCACCTGGAATATTGTGGCAGTTTTGGGCACCACAATATAAAAAAGACATGAAGCCATTAGGGAGTGTCCAAAGGAGGGCTGTGAAGATGGTGAAGGACCTTGAGGGGAAGCTGTGTGAGGAGCAGCTGAGGGCACTTGGTCTGTTCAGCCAGAGAAGAGGAGACTGAGGGGAGACCTCGCTGCAGTTACAACTTCCTCGTGAGGGGAAGAGGAGGGGCAGGCACTGATCTCTGCTCTGTGGTGCCCAGTGACAGGACCAAGGGAATGGCCTGAAGTTGTGTCAGGGCAGGTTTAGGTTGGATATTAGAAAAAGGTTCTTGCCCCAGAGAGTGGCTGGGTACTGGAACAGGCTCCTCAGGGCAGTGGTCACAGCACCAAGCCTGACAGAGTTCCAGAAGCATTGGAACAACACTCTCAGGCCCATGGTGTGACTCTTGGGGGTGGTCCTATGCAGGGACAGGAGCTGGACTCAAAGATCCTCATAGGTCCCTTCCAGCTTGGCACAGTCTGTGATTGTGTGGTTCTGTGAAAAGTTACTCACCCATAGTGACTGCCAATGCAACACAACTCTGAACGGTATTTACTTTTCAAAACTCTTGCAGGCTTGGGAAATGCTGTATTTAGAAAGCCAACGGAGCCATCTAGTGTTTAAATTTAAAATTTGCAGTTCTATGTGTTTTGGACTTCTGTGTGCAGGAGCAAGGTCCAGGTGCAATCTTAACAGTAAGAGAAGGAAAGCAGCTCATAGAGTTTCATATTAATCCCTGACAGCTCTTGATCCTTACAAACCATACAGTTATTGTGCTGGAATTAAGAGTGTTATATTGTAAGTGAAGATTTCTATTAATTCGTTAGAGACGCTCAAGATGGGAAAAAAGATTTTTCTGGTATTTATCCTTCATATTCTCATTTTCAGTTATACGCTTTTGTTTCTGCTCGGCATTTCAATCCTCCCCATGCCTGTGCTGCTTTGTCACCTGCTGCTTCAGGGCATGGACTTGATCAGTTGGTTTCTGTGGGTTGACCTTCCCTTCTGTGAACTGTCCTTTTGGCAGTCTGGCCTCTCACATGCTCTGGAGTTGGTCAGAAAACTGGGAAGAGGCCACATCAAACGTTTCCTACTTTTTCCCTCAAAATTCAGCACCAAACTTCAGTGGCTGTCATCTCCCTCCCCAGCAGTCAGCATGCAGGCAGGCACAGGAGACATGCACATGGGTTGCACTAGGTTTTTTCCTCATCATTTCTCATGCTGAGCTCAGATATAACTGCTCCACATTTGTCACCCACAGTCATTCCCCCTGTTACATGTTCATGTTGTCATTTCCTGCATCTGCAGACAACCTTTAGAGAAAAAGAAACATGATTTTTATGGTTATTTTTTAAATACTTGGGCTGGCTTTGTTCTCCTGATGTAGCCTTGGAAGGTGAGTGCAAATGAGCCAATGACCACAAACAGGCAAACCAGAATTTTGCGGCCCTATGGATTAAAAAAAGGGGGTCAAAGCAGAGCTGGGACCGTGACTGAGCCAACCCAACCTTCTGCTGGCACGGGAGGTGCAGGATGGAGGACAGAAGGAAAAGCCACTGATGTTTCTGAGGCAAAGCACCTCTTCCTGGGTCCATGTCAGAAGTCACTGTCCCAGAATCATTCTACTTTTTTTCCTTTTTGTCTTTCCTTTTTTTTTTTTTCCCTGTCCAAGTCTGGTCTAACCATATGGATTACCCAGACAGCATGCAGTGAGTCACTTAAATCCCAGTGTCTGCCTAGCCATCCAGCATATGTGTAAATTCAAAGGTAGGGCAGGCTCTGGGGGACAAGAACTGGTCTGACCTAACTTTAGATGTTTGAAAGACAGTTGACTAAATCTAAGCTGGTGTTCTAAAATTCTTTGTAGTCCATCAGTTGAAGCAAACACTGTCAAAACAATAGTTTATTTTGGTCTCTGCATGGGTACCTAAGGATGCTGGAGTCAATCCCACATGGCCAGCAAGAATTACTGAAAATCAGTTGCTTACCAGGAATCTCAGAGTGAGTCAGAATTATCTGAGTTCTTTTGGAAGCTACTTCTGGATGGCCATTTTAGACAGGAGGGACTATGATTCTAAGAATCATTTAACAGCTGGACTCCTTTAAGGATTTGCCCAGTGTGGTCAAGAAAGAAAACTGAGTGAGTCTTGTGCTTTATAAACCTGTTTTGGTTATCATTGGTGGTTCTTCTGCCCACTATATATTTAAAGGTTTTTAAAACATTGGGAGTTTTGTCAGTGGTAATATTGCCAAAAGTCAAAATTAAGGTTCTGATAATATCACAGAGCATTGCTGCTGTGTTATGTTTACTGAATCCCTTCAAAGGGACTATCGTATTATCACCGTGACCTCAAAAAAATGTTAGTCTTGTTTAATCATTAGAACAAAGAGCTGGAGGCCAGAAAGATCATAATACAACCATTAAGGACAGAGGAGAGCCAACAATGTGGTTCATAGAAAACAGAGACCACAAAAGACCTATCTGAGTCTGTGGAGTGTTTCCATTTTCCCCAGCTGATGTACTGCACAAACCCATCATAAATCCAGTTTCTCCAGAAGTGAAGTTTACATTAAAGCAGATCCTGTGCCAAGCTGTCCTGTTCACAATGCTTTTGTCCACACGAGGAAATGGATGGGTACATGGCATAAGCTACTTCTGAGCTATTCTAAAAGCTGCAACTAGTTATTTAAGAGCAACTATTGTGGAATAGCTTATGCTACACTGGTTACACCCATCACTTTCCCTGGAGAGAAGAAAATCCATTGCAGTATTCTAAATGTGAACTCATTGTAAACTTTTGCAGCATTTTCTTCAGGACCTCACAAATAGGCGACTTGAAATAATATTCTGAATCACATCAGTTGTCCTCGACCAGTTAACTCTAAAGTCTAATGGCATGACTTGGAATGCTTAGCAAAACTTTGATTGGAGGCAATTAGAATTAAGCATGAGAAGAAAGAGGAATTATTACAGGGAGGAAAACTCCAAGGGAAGGGAAGAGAAAGACAGAAAAGCAAATGGAATGAATGAATAGCAACAGAAGGAAAACTGTAAAGAAAATGCAAGTGCAGAAATAACAGTGGAAGTCAAGATGGGAATGTTTCCTCAACTGAGAAATAATCATGGTTGTAAGCCTGAGTCAGCTCCCACAGCACAAAGGGACAGGATTCCTCTAGAGTTTAGTGCCTGGGCCCCACTGGTACCAGTGTGCCTCGTGCTGTTCATGAATTCAGGCAAGCAGTCACTAAACGTGGCATTTGGCCTTCTCTGCAGAACGACTTTTCACATCCCCAGTGCCAAGACAGTATTTTCTCTACTGCATGCCCATGTTTGTTCTGCCAGCCTTTTCATTGCTTGCTTCTTTTACTCACAGTATGTCCAAGCCTGACTCTGGGACATTTCAATCTGAGTATCTTTTAAAAGAACTGGGGGCTTTCGATCTGTTTTGAACAGGACAGAGCAACTTGCTGTTTGCTTCCATCCCAATGGCAGAGACTTCTTTCTCCCTAGCAGACTTAAATATCATGACAGATTGAAGGAAAAGGAGCTGATTAAAGGTTACCTTGATCAAAAAATATAATCACAGTTGTGATATTTGAGGGAATGTAATCTACGTAATGGAAATTTTGTGCCCGGTTTTTAAGGTTTAGGTGTGTTTTAAGTACCTGTGCGTGAATGTGCACCCACATCTGCTAAGAAAGCTTTTCTGTCTGAGATTAGGAATGAAAGGGAGTCCTTTGTTTGAAACCTTACGGTTTGACCAAGCAGGGAAGTTGGATGAACGTTTTACTCCAAATGTTTCTGCAGGGGAATGAAACTTCAGTGAGAAACCAAAGAAGCCAAGTGGTGTAAATGGATATATAAAGTGGAAAAGTCTCAAGCACATAAAAGTACTGGAGAAAGAGATGGAAGGACTTCATATAAGGTGGAACCAAAAACAGGGGATAGGATGTGTGAATTAGCTGCAGGAAGTGAGACCTGAGCAAGTGAGCTGGGCAGGACTTTGGCTGGAGCTTTCAGAGCAGGGTTCTGGATAACTCCAGACAACGTGGCATCTGCATATAACAAGTCATTTAGGATGTGTCAGAAAAATACACACTGTGTCTCTTAGGTTATCCAGGGGAAGAGCAGTAATGTTTTAAAAACCCATGCAATGTGTGTACATTTTCCACCTTGGATACTCCCTGAGGTGTAAAATGTAATTTCAACTGTTGCTTTGCAGGAAGTGCCTTGAGGCTCCCTTGGGGTTCTGAAAAATTGGAAACAGATGAGTTGTTGGGCCTGTATCTGGGAAGGGGACCAGAGCACCTGAGCCCAGGAAATGTGTGATGGTGAGGATTGATGGAAGAGGTGATGCTGTAGGCTCCTAAGAAAAGCCTGGTACTGCTGGTGGTGTGAAATCGAGCTCAGAGGTTTGGGGAGCTCACGTCGGTGCAGTTTGGACAGATCTGTGGACCAAAGGTGAGTAGAGGAGTTCACAAACAAGTTCTTTGTGTGAAGTTATCACAGCATAAAGACATTCTGGCATCTTTAATGTTGCAGAAAGAGGGAAAAATGAGAACCAAAGGCAGTAGGGGGAAACCAGCCCATTCAAATGAAAAGCTGCACATGCTTTTTAACAGTGTGAATGATCATAAGTGTCAATTAAGTTGCTGTTTTCTACCTCTTGGTGTTCTCACTTCAAAGCAGTGTAATTTTCTGGAAGCAGTGCTTTGGCTGAACAGAGTTGTGGATCTCAGCATAGTAGTAAATGGGTAAAATGTAATTGCCTTGACAAACAGAGGTCAAGCTAAGAGAGCTATTGTTTCATCCTGGCCTGAAATTCTCTCAATCTGTGAAATTTCTTAGACAGTTTTGACTTCCTCATCCTAGATTTCATATTGCTTCTTTCTGTATGCAGTTTAATGTTTTAAATTTGTGCCTGAAGGCCAGAGGTGCCTTTTTTTTCTTGTTCTTTAAACACTAACTGAAGGCTGAAAACATCCCTGTTTTTCCAAATCTGGAAAAACTCAGAATGGTCATATTACCAAGGGGAGAGAGGGGGAAAAAAAAAAAAAAAAGAAGGAATACTGTGTACCCAACAAAACAGAGGCAAGAATGCAAGAATGCAGGAATGTAAATGTGTTACAGGCTGTTATTAGGATTTTGGATGCAAAAATAAAACTTAGAAAAGACTGAAGATTTGAAAAGACATAATACAAACCAATTTATTTCGACTAGAAATTGCCTTCCCTAGATTGCTAAGGTGACAGGAAAAAAAATATGAAAGGAAGGTAATTGTATTTGTTTTAAGTCTGGCAGTTTCCACTGAAATGCCTGTCTCTCTATAATAGTTTTTCTGAAGAAGTGCCTTGGGGAATTACTAGAAAAATGATCTTTATGGAGTGTTCATGGCCATCTGAACTACCCACCCATCCAGTATAAATGTGTTCTGGCAAAACAAGTGTTTGTGTTGCCATGGCCTTTCCCGTGATGTTATTTTCTTAAGCAAAAGCATTTTTCTAGCTGAGATCTTAACAAGGACACAGGCAGGGCGCCATGATTCAGTCCTTGAAGAGAAAAATAATGATTTGGAGGGAATGGTGAAGGAAAGAGATGGTCTCAGAGGGGGTGGAACAGAGGACTTAGATATCTGGTGACTCTTTTGCCCAAGAGAAACAGTGATTCCTTCCACTAATCACTCCAGCTCTGCGGGAGACTAGTGCGGCCTCTACCAGCCCTGCAAAAACACTGATGAGCCCAGTGCTAAGATTCTCCTGAGGCATCCTCAGTACAGGGAAAATCTCTCTTAAAAATAGCAGCTCAACTGTTATTTGCTGAGCAAATCGTGTGCCTCAGATCCGGGCTTCCAAAATTCAGGTCGTAGGGCCCTGTGCTGTGCTCAGGTACAGGGATACTGCACACAAATATGTTCCTGAGATCTGTGTGGGTCCATATGATGTATCTCCAAGATTTTAACTGTTCTGTGTGCTGGTTTGGGGATTTTTTCTTCTGTTGTCCTGCAAAATCACTTCAGGAAGGTCCTGCCTAAGGGTTTCACATTGGTTTCTGTTCTCCGGTGAATACTTCTGCAAACGAAAATGATTGTGAATTTTACATTGTTTATGGATTTATACTCCAGTTTTAAGTTAATATCAAAGTGTTGTATCATGAAAACTAGTAAGCTGGTCTCATTAGCTTTGAACAATATTATTATATAGTTAGTGTGCATCACAGTGACTAAAGCAAAACTAGGCTTACATGAAGTGCATAAGGACAAGGCAGGTATTGAGTCACCCTTTCTCTGCATATCTTCCCAAATTCCAGTGATCATCACCGTGTGAGGCAGAGGTCATATCTGAATCCTTCTGCTTCCCATCCACCATGGGGCCACTCCTTTCTAAAGGAATAAAACACAAAAAATAAACAACAGCAGCACCAAAGGCTGGGCCTTAGATCTCATAGAGTTTTGATGAGATCTGAGCATTTTCCTTCCTTCAGCTCCTGTGAGACACCTCTCTCAAGCTACTTTCATACCTGTGTAGCTCCACAGGTCACGTCAGGACATTGATCTCACCAGAGAAAGTAAATGGGATAAGGTCCATGAGTGCTAAATGTAGGTCCAAATCCAAATCTGTTTGTAGGAGAGAACACATTGCAAAAAAACCTAAGTAAATAAAAATAACAAGGAAAATAAAAATAGAATAGGCCTCTAAAAATAGAGCAGGCAGGGTCATCTTATCCCCCCCAAATTAATTTTCTTTGTAACACAAACCACACTGTGGGAGGATGAGCAGTTCCCCTTCTGTTTGAAGCAACCCAGTTCACATCTCACTGACACCTGAACACACAACACCATTTTAGCAAACAGATCAAGCACAGAACTATGGCAAAACAAACAAAGCAACATAGATTATCTTATTTGCCATTAAATACAATTAATTAGCATGAAGCTAAGACAGCAAATAGCAGTTGATATAAGTAACAAAATATGCTAGGACTTGGCTCCAAAAAATGTGTGATGTGTTCTCCTAACTACTGAGACCCATTTAATCTCATGCTCCTGCATTGGAATTACTTTTAGAAATCCCAGGAACTGAGCTCTGCTCCATCCTCTGAGAAACAATTCCTCAGCCTATCACCTCACACCTCACCTAACATCTCACTGATCTTGCTGAAGCATCTTCAATAACTCATACTTGTCACCTCTCATATTCGTACTCACTGGAAAAAAAATCACAAGATACCTAATCTAAAGCTAAAAATCCACAGAAAGAACTTGAGCTAAATCCAGCTTGCTTTGTGAACTAATTCCAGTGAAATTAAAGAGCTACTTAGGGGAGGGAAGCCAACTTACAGTATTACGTAACACCAGACATATCTTTGATTTTTTTAATATGACCTTTTGAAATTAGATTAGAAAGAAAATTCCAAATCAAAATTGAATCAGTTAAGTCTCTGGCTTTTGCAGTTGAGGAGGGACATGTCTGATGCATGAAGCAATACTGGAACTGCATATTGTGCAGGCTCATGGTCCTAAGGGGATTTAGTTATCACGGTGTGGTGTAGGCAGTTTCAAGCTCCATTCAGCAAGAAAAGATTTAACCTGGATAGTGATTCTGGAACAGAGGGAAAGGGGGTGAGCTGTAGGGGATGACAAGGCTGCCAGGAGAGCAGCAAAGATCACTCAGAACATAACATCACTTTAAGGGAGGCGTTTCTAAGCTGATGCTGACAGGAATTCAGAGAAGTGGGCAAACCAAGACAGGGATCTAGAAGCTGGAGATAGGGCTCTAAATTGAGTAACTGGTGTTTATCTTCTGCCACAAACAGTGACAGGAATTTATAGGTATACCTCAGTTGTCAGAATTCCCCCATGTTGCTTGTAAGAACTCTGGAGGGATGGTCTGTTCACATGCACTTCCCCTCTGGAAGTTTACAGCCCCTAGAGCAGTAAGTGCCCAATGCAGGTAGTGTTCTCTACTTCAGCTACAGGTGAGGGTATTAGCAAGAGCTGCTTCTGGTTTCATCTTTGAGAGGATCAGTCTTCAATTTGAGACTGCTGAGGGAGTGGATATGCTTTCAATTCAGCCATTCCTACTACTGAAACCATAAACCACATGGCTGGGGTGGACCAGGCTCAATGACTTCAACATCTGAATAGAAAAAAAAAAAGGGATACATTTGTATGTGTTAGGAAAATTGAGTTAAAATAACCTCATGAACAGTGAAAGCAGTAAAATAGTCCACCTTCACAAAATGCTGAAGAACACAATGTAATTAGAGTTTACTTCCAATTATGTACTTTTTTATTATGAAAATTAATAGTACATTTAATTAATGTGGAATTATTTGGAATGACATGTTTTACTGAGGAAATAATGATGGATTTCTGAATGTTAGATATAAGTTATGTGGTTCCTATGATAAAATATTTTTAGCTGCTTAGCATATGGAAGCACTTAGAATTGTCCCAGTTTTTTTACTGGAAAATAATTTACTTCATGAAATACTTTAAAACTATTCTTATATAATTTGTTGGGAACTCACTGGGCTTTTATTAAGCTGGAATGTTAATCAAGCACACACATTGCCTAATCATAGAATCATCAAGGTTGGAAGAGACCCTTACTTTCCAGGAAGTGCCTGGATATCACTTGCTGATAGGAAGCAGAGAATAAATCTTTTAGTTTTCCTTTGTACACAGCCTTTGGTTTTGCTTTATTAAACTGCCTTTTTCTTGATCCATGAGTTCTTTTCCATCTTATTTTCTCCTCCTCTGTTCTGCTGAGGAGCGATAGAACCTGGCTGCCAGATAAGGTCAACCCCCTTCACTATCTCAGAGATGTTACGGAGATGTTGTGATGAACTTTATTCAGGTTGGATGCATTTTTATACCTATAAAGATTGTGATAAGGCCCAGAAATGGAGGTGTACTCTTTTCCAAATTCTGTGCTTTTTCTCTGTGTCTGAAGGACTAAACAGGGTTCAGTTGTTGATCAGAAGTTGGAGGAGCTACCAGAATATGCTCCTCTAATACTTATGAATTACATGATTTCAAGTATCATGTTGCCAGCTTTTGAAACGGTGCTGAGGTATGTAAATCTCTGGTATGATCCAGAAATTACCTACAGTGTGAATCTAACCAGTTACTGTGAAGGAGGACAACCTTAGAACACTGTGGCCCCTCACTGATGTTACTCAGGAGATGTTTGTGAATTTGAGAATGCGGATCCCAGATCTCCAGTGGATGGTGGATGGTCACCTGCACTGCCAATGTGCTTGGGGTGAAATCTTGGCTCCTTGCAAATCAGTGCAAGCTTGCAGTAGCTGCTTAGTAGTAAGAACATACAGCTGAATGGAAGGGGTGTTTCTCTGTGTTTTGTAGTTGGTTTTGATCTGAGGCAAATTAGCCATCAAGGTGTTACCAGTTCTGTAAAACAATGACCCCTCTTGTTCTGCTCTCTGGGATTTCCTGTAATTGCATGAATGAAAACCAAAGAAAACGGTCTCTGTATCTTGGAACCTTCGGAAGGGGAACTGAGGCCAGTGAAAGTGTCTGCTCCTTTCAGGAGGTTGTGATGTGGTTGCTAGTCTTGGAGATGGGTTTGAGTCACACACTATCTCAGAGACAGCAATTATAAAATTAAGCCACTCGAGGTCATGTCAGCGTTGCCAGGCACTAGACAGCCAAGCTTCTTGGTGCTGGGCCGTTCTACAGAGCCTGCCTTGGGAGATATCCCAAGGATGCCCACTGAATAGGAAAGGAGCACTCAGCCAAGAAAAGCAGGAAAAAGTGTTCTTTAGAAGTGGGGGAAGAGATGCTGTTTGTTTTCTGATTTTAAGCTGTAGGAGTCCAAGAAAGGGAACCAAAAAAATTAAAGAGTGGGAGGACTGAACAGGAGGGGTGGAGAGTAAAAGTATCTTTTTACATCAAGAATGGCCAGAGCAAACCACTGTTTAAACCTTGGAACTTCATTATTGTTGATCCAGCTGGCAGACTGTTGGAAGAGTCCTCCTGACTCCTGGGTATCCACATAAGTTTGGAGAAATGCAGGTTTTCCCATTTCCATGCTTGCAAGAGCAACAATTTCATTACCAGAAACACCCACGAGGGGAAAGCTACATATCTGAAACTCTGTCCTAGAGTAAGGACAGAGAGAGCTCTGTTGCTGTTTCAGGAGCCCAGATGGGACATCCAGTCCATGGCCAAGAGGAGTGTGTCAGTGTTGTTGCTGAAGACAGTTAACTGACTGCATTGTGCCTGTGCTCACAAAGATTCCCTCAAAGTACCACATTAGTCAAAGCCTCTGCTGTAATGTACCAGTTAGACTTCCAAAGGTTAACTGCTCTCTGCCAGAAGAGACTGGTTTCTGTCTCCTCGTTTCCTGCAGAGTTCCAGAAGTAGGACACAAGCCTGTCACTGGAGCCACAGGAGGTGGGTGGTTTGTCTTGCCTGGCAGCCCCTGAAAACCCACGTCTTCCCAGATACTTTTTTTCCTGACTGTTTGAAAACATGTCACTGGAAGGTGCTTGCAGGCACTAGACATTTCTCTCTACTGTTTCAGTAAAAATGTCCATCATGGCAAAATGTAATGAGACAAACTGTGATGCTGCCTAGAGAAGGAGTGTCAGCCAGGGGCTTTTTCCAGTGGCCAGTGGCAGTGGGAGCAGACTTTACAGTTCTCAAGGTGAAGTGGAGGGTTTGCATCTTCCCTGGCACAGCAGATCCAGGTTAAAGTGTTCCTTGAGATTGCCATGAGACCAGGGAGTGCTTCTCTTTATTATCTGTATTCTTTTCAGTGCCTTCTAGTAACCAAAAAGACAGGCAAGGGGTCCATCAAATGGCATATAAAGGACAAAAGAGAAATATGGGTCAGAAAAGGGCACTTTTCTGAAGGAAAACTGAAGATTGTGGGACATAAACTGAGCTTGATTTTGTTAATTGTAAGTTCAGCAACATAAACCACAAGCCTATGACTTTTTAAAATAATACTCTCTGTTGTAATATAAAACAGTCTTTATGAACTCTCTTACTACCTTGTGTTTCAAGACATTTTGAATTTAAAAGTCTGCTGTCCAAGCAAGGACATATCTGCATGCACCAGCTCTTTAACCACGTATATGTACAATTTTTTTAAGAATTGTACATAGAGGGAAAATAACCAAAGTAATAAAAACAGACAGTCCTGAAACCTTAATACAACAGGTTCTAGCTTGATGCATTTCCCATTTTCTTAAACTTCCAACCAGCCTTTTCCAAAGCTAAACAGTAACACATAAACACTGCCATACACATGCAGATTTCATTTAGAATTTTCAAAGGTCAGTTCAGAGTAACTATGTACTTTGGAAATCCATTTAGGGGCACAGATACTATTCTTGGACAGTAAACAAGTGAAGATGGACATTTATGCCTCTAGCTGAACATTCCACGAACTTACAGAGAAGTCCACACCTAAATACATTTAATATTAAATATTGTGGTATTCTTGGATTCTATGTGTTCTATATATTTTATAACTTCTTGGATACATTTATTTAATTCTTGTTATCTTGGCTCAGGCACCAGGGATTGCTCCTTGGAGAAGATGTCTTAATTCATGAAGGTGCAGCTGCTCTGTGTCCACTTGGCTCACACGTTCCCCAGAGTATCCTTGTTTCCTGTTCTCACCTTAGTATAATAGTGGTGACTATTTCCTTGCCCAGTGAGTTCCATTGCTTTACAAAATGAGTGTCAGGTACGCAGTAGTATGAGAAACCATAAACAAACAATCTGTCTCCAAGCCCAGGAAGAGTAAGGTTTTGCTAAAAGAGGTAATTTATCTTAACAAGTCAGGGAGAGAAACATCCCCACAAGCTCATCATATCAGCTGTGCCATCATACCACCTCAGCTTTCTAATTCTGTAATTTCTGAACTATTTAGCTGCATTGAAGACTGTTACCTCAATTCCTAGGTTATCTGTGTAGCCACATTCTTCAAAGGTGGCAGTGAGTCAAGAAAGTAATTATAATTTAGCATTTGGAAAGTTGGCATACACTTTTATGTCAGCTTCCCTTTTTAGCTAAATGCTGTTTCAAAACTCTTGCAAGTTAGACATGGGTGAAAACAACTCAAAGGTTGGAGGAGCTTCTCAGACAGGAATCAGCAGAAACAAAAATCCTACTCTACCTCTGCACAGTACGAGCAATATTTAAATAGTCCAGGCATTTTCACAACAGTTGGAGTTGCAGAAAATCTGTACTGAACACAGACCATAATCTTTGTAATGGCATTTAAAATTCGCTGAGCACGTTGGCAGTTAGCCAGTTGTCTGACAATATTACAGGAAAGGGGTTAGGTCAGAATGACCTAGACACATCCAGGAAAACCATCTCAAGGCATTCTGCTTGGGATGATAATTGTGAAACCTACAGCAAGGAGTGGATCATGTCATAGCAGTGAACTGAGGACAGAACACCTGGGCCTAGGAGTGCTGCAAACAGGCAGAAGTGTTGATACTCTTGTCAGTGCTGCCACTGAGAAAGAGCCCTGAAAGGCTGAATGCTGTGTAAGTGGAAAGGCCTGGCAGCCTGTGTCTGGAACCAGAGTTGCTTACTGGCTCAGGATAATTCTGTCAGGCAGCATCTCAGGGGACCAGTGTGGGCTTTTGGGCTCAGTGGGAAACGCTGTGGTTCCAAAGTGCTGTATCCCTTTCAGACTGGGAAAGAACAGCTGTGAGCAGTATGACTGAGAAGTTGCTACCAGACTGTGCTGAACAGAGCTCTAAAGCTCTAAAGCTATGCCATGGCCTCAAAACTGCAGTTTGGTATGGTTCCACCCCACCTATTTGGGGGACAAAAGCCCTCTGATATATTTATTTTTCCCTCTCATTTCTGTGACACTAAATGTTTGAGAGAAGTCCCAAGAAATCCAGAACAAAACACTAAATGTGTCATGATAAGCAAAAATATTTCCCTCCTCATCTTGATTCTGAGGCTGTGAGCTAAATCATGATGTTTGCTTTCCTTTGCCATCCACTTCCAACACACAAGTAAAGCAACAAGTCTTCTGTTGCAGTGTGTCTGAGGTAGCTGTGATCCCCATGCTGGCTGACAGCAATTGGTATTTGCTTTGATCAGATTTAAAGTCATGCTAATTAAAATTGATCTTCCTGCTCACACATTGAAGGGAACCAGTATCTGGAGGCAAGATCATGTTGTCCAGGGAAAACTTGAATAAACCCTCAGGCACCAAAGTCTGCCTCCCTCAGAGTTGACAGCAGTAGCTTTCATGTTCCAAAAGAACATCTTGTCATACTGTTGTGATTTAACCCCAGCCAGCAACCAGCACCACACAACCACTTCCTCAATCCCCCAAGGGATCAGGGGGAGAATGGGAAAGGTAGAAGCTGGAAAACTTGTGAGTTGAGATAAAGACAGTTTAATAGGGGAAGCAAAAGCTGTGCTCACAAGCAAAGCAAAACAAGGAATGAATTCACCACTTCCCATGGGCAGGCAGGTGTTCAGCCCTCCCCAGGAGAGCAGGGACCCATCACATCTAACAGTGACTTGGGAAGACAGTGTCACTCCAAACATCCCCCTCTTCCTCTTTTCTTCCCCCTATTTTATATGCTGAGCATGATGTCATATGGTCTGGGATATCCTTTGGTCAGTTTGGGTCACCTGTCCTGGATGTGTCTCCTCCCAACCTCCCCCACATGTCTCCTCCCCCACAGCCTCCTCACCAGCAGGGCAGCACAAAAAGCAGAAGAGGTCTTGACTCTGTGCAAGCACAGCTCAGCAACAACAAAAACATCTCTACATTATCAGCCCTGTGTTCAGCACAAATCCAAAACACAGCCCCACACCAGCCACTGCGAGGAGAACAAACCAGCACACATATTCTCTAGGCTCTTGTCCTCTAATTGTGCATCAGTGATTCTACTAGTAGGACAAGGAAAGTTTATTCTGTCCATTGGGCATTTGTGTGAAAGCCAAAGATATTTACCATTTTTTCTGAAGTTTTCTTTCTCCAGCACTTCACTGGAGCACTTTCTTGAGCGTGCATACCGTGGCCAGAGACCTGTAGAACGGGGATTAGAAAATACTGAAACAGGGGGGAGGACTAGGGAGCACAGTGTGCAATTCCTCAGGTGTGGGTTTTAGTCAGGGCACTGGGATCAGTACAAAACGCCTAATAAACTCTTTAATTGTGGCATGATTTAACAATGTCTTCAGTGGTCTGTGGCCATCCTTGTTAAGTTGGTTCCTTATGGAATCAGCAGGAAGCTCTCACCCTTGTGAAGCATCAGCACTGTGTTGTGCTGCTTCAGCTGGGTGGGGGCCAGTCAGCCACTCACTGGCTACTGACATTTGATGAGATTGGAGTCAGAGGCCTCAGAACAAGAGGATGTCCTTGTTTTGTAACCTCTGTAAAGACTTTAAGGTGATTTGAAATCTAGCAAAATAGTTTTCAGAGGACGCCTTGCAGTTTCTTAGGGTGTTACGTGTTTTCACTTAAAAAAAACTTGAAATAGGTGCCAGGAAAACTAAAATAAAGAACTTGAAAATCAGATTAAATAGATACCGGTAAATTTTCCAGGACTCTTCAATCCTTCATTTTCTAACTTATTCATACAAATGCTTCACAAGAAGGAGGTCAGTACTAAAAAGAAAGTTATAGTGTTTGGGTCTTGTTCAATTTTAATTAATGCTGTGTTATTTCATCACTGTTTTTAATAAACCACTGATAAAACTAAAGATGTACTTGCTTTAACATCCTCCTTGAGATGTTGCCAAACTCATGTTAAGTATGTACAAAGATTTTAAAACTAAGGATACATATGCATCATTTTATGTATGCTATCATTTGACAGCATTGTCATAAAATGCTATTTTTAGTGCCACTGTTGTCTCCTTTAATCATTTTAGAGTTTGTTATTCTGGCAGATGCGAAACTTGCCTGAAAATACACAGAGAACCACAAAAATCGTAGGTTCCAAATGACTACAAGAACTGCAAGATGTCATGATTAATCCAGATTTACAGCATGAATGTTAGCTTTTTCATTGTTCCGTAGTATAGGACCACGCAAAGAAAATAAACTTATTATGCTGGTGTCAGACGTTTTGACAGCTTGGTAGACATTGCATTCCTATTTTCTTTCCTGTCTCATGTGGCATTACTGTCTTCCATACCATTTAGTAGTTGCATAATTGTTCCCTTTCAAGCATACAAACAATGAGGTCAACTTGAGTCATGTCAAATAACTGGAGCAAATACCACATATGAAACCATTTAAGATAACAAGTCATGTGATCACATATATTACCTCTCGCCTGGATTTTTTGGATCATACTAGAAGTGTGTTGGAACACACAAAAGCAACAGAGCTTACCAACTGACTATGATAAGCAAATGTTGAGCACTTTATTGCAAAGTATTTAAGACAGACAAGCTGGAATTGAAAGTTACCTTCCTCTAAATCATTATGCTTCTTCTTTACACTGACCTTTTCAAGGCAAAACCTGTTTTCCTGCACAAAGAAAAATATGACAGGGATAAAGGTTTAATTTTATTCTAGTGGTTTTAATAACATGTAGCTATGTTACATTTTAAAGCTGCCTAATTATCAGATGTAACATCTGGGATACAGTATCTATCAGACTGTGTTTTATCCAAACTGGGCACAGATACAAAAAAGTGTTATTTGTATTTATTAATTGGAACATACAGAGAAAGGTCAACACTTTCCCTATTCATCCTTCATCAGCAGAGAGGCTGGTGAAAAAGCAGGGTAAAAATAAAACTCCCTAATCAACAAAAACTTGTGCCTTCAAAAATATGCAAGACACATGAAAGCAAAGAATAAGGTTCTTACCCGAGCATTTTTTCTTTCATTGAATGTCATTCAGTTCAGTTTTGCTCATAGGGCACATCACAGACCTCTGCTGTTCTCAACTGAAGCCAAAAGAAGTGGTTTCTCTCTTGCTACAGTGGTTGACAAGAGGAAAGCATTAAAACACTATTCATAAACAAGCAGCCATTAAGAGAAAGCAGAACATGGTTAAAGCAGTTCCTATTAACATGTTTTATTCCACTCTGAAGTACTTTTGAAGTAATTAAACTGGTGAGTTGCTTCTATAACCCTCCCAAGTGTTTGTGGTAGTAGTAACCATTACTGACTCTTCAATGCAAGTTGTTCTGCCTCTTGTCCAGAGATTTTGTGTTTCTCTTTTGCTACCTACACTGCAAGGCCTCACAGAGAAAAGGCAACTTTCTTCTGACCTTTTTGTACTAGAGAGTTTTGAGCTGCTGCTGGAGGGTGTGTGGACAGAGAGATGGAACAATCCTGAGATTCTTCTCTCTCTTCTTTTTTTTTTTTTTGACTTGCTAATGCCATCTACCTCCACGGCCTCTCAGGACAAAGAATTCCAGGAATCCACAAACGACTGTGTAAAAAAAAAAAAATAAAATTTCTTTTATCAGTTTTAAACCATTTCCCTGCTACTTTCAGTGAGTGACCCCCTCCCCCAGCTGTAATATTACAAGATTTGATGAATGACACTTCTGCATTCACCTTACCAACCACCTTAATGATTCTCAGTAACCTTCCCAATGATGTCCAACACGCTGATTTCTTGCTGCTGCTGGACACTGAGCTGCATATCTGATTTGGCCTACAACACCTGTTCTTTCTAAAAGAACTGGGCTTTTCCGGTCCCTTTCTCCATCATAGATATTTTTTTTCCTCCAGTCTCATGTACTTTGAGTACATGAGAGCTGCCAGCGTTAAAAAGCAATCTAATTTAGCAACTGGTAGCTTCAAACTGCTGTGTTTTTAACCGGAAAGCAGAATGGAATCCTAACTGGAAACCAAAACTGGATCTAGAAAAGAATTTGAAAGACCATTTTGAAACCCTTTCCAGACGTATATACAATTTACTGTTTCAAAATATGAATTTGACTGAGATCTGACATCCCCTGGCAGGTATTTGACTGTCAGATCAGGAGATCTGACATCCCCTGGCAGGTATTTGTGCAGTAGAAGGGCTGTTTAGACTAGGTTTTGTTTCCAGACTGGAGGAAGGGTGCCCTGGCTGCTCAGTGCTGTTCTTTAGGTTCTCACTGGGCTTGTTCACGCAGGGGCCTCCTCCAGGGATCTCCAGTAAACAGCCTTTAATGGAAGAGGGCTGACAGCAACTTTGATTTCTGTCTTCCCGGTCTTTCAGCTGTGTGGTTATCACTGATGGTGTATAGATGGCAGGCCTAAATCTCTCGTGCCTGTGCCTCACTGGACAGGTGTGTTTTCATGTCTGTGTTTCTGGGCTTCCATGGTCAATATGTGAGTGCATTCATCTCTTGAGTAGTGGTGGTTCACCCTGTTCATCAGTCCTGTCTCCCACTCCTCTCCCTGAACTGGCAGTAGTTAATTGTGATGCTCCACCGTATTTGCAGCCTTAGGCCGAGGGAAATAGTTTTTCTGGCCTGGGAAAAGGACTGATGCCTGTCC